TGACAGAAGTTAATTAACTTTCGAACAATATTTTATTTTTCTGACATGATAAAAAAAACCTCAGGTTGAAATCTTTGAGGTAAAGTATGATTTAATGTATTCATGTTTAAATGTGGTTAATTCTCACAGAATATGGTCAAAAACAAACAACAAACCAAATAAAAGTGGAAAAACATTCTTTTATTTCTATTAATTGCTAATTGTAACATCAGTGACAGAAATCAACATGAATCATGTACAAATAGAATCAAACATCGGTTACATAAATACAACAGTTATTCACAAGAACCAAACAAACACATTATTCTGATTATGGAGATTTAAAAGACAGGGTTTGCCATTGATGCTGCATTAAGCTTATGTGGGTATAGTCAGAGTCTGTGACGGGCCTCCTCTGGGGCCTCAACTGGGGCCTCCTCTGGGGCCTCCTCTGGGGCCTCAACTGGGGCCTCAACTGGGGCCTCCTCTGGGGCCTCCTCTGGGGCTTCATCTGGGGCCTCCTCTGGGGCCTCAACTGGGGCCTCAACTGGGGCCTCCTCTGGGGCCTCCTCTGGGGCCTCCTCTGAGGCCTCATCTGGGGCCTCATCTGGGGCCTCCTCTGGGGCCTCCTCTGGGGCTTCATCTGGGGCTTCATCTGGGGCCTCCTCTGGGGCTTCATCTGGGGCCTCCTCTGGGCTTCATCTGGGGCCTCCTCTGGGGCCTCCTCTGAGGCCTCAACTGGGGCCTCAATTGGGGCCTCCTCTGGGGCCCCCCTCTGAGGCCTCATCTGGGGCCTCCTCTGGGGCCTCCTCTGGGGCCTCATCTGGGGCCCAGTTTGAGCGGGGCCTTGTGCGACGACAGGTTCCTCTTGTGGGGCTTCACTTTCAGGCTTTGTTTTGGTGCTGGTTTCAAGTAAAAGTTTAGCTGCAAAAGCAAATGATACATAAGTTATATATTTATCCTGTCCTATATGTATATATATATATATATATGTACAGTATATATATATATGTACAGTATATATATATATGTACAGTATATATATATATGTACAGTATATATATATATATATATGTACAGTATATATAAATGTACAGTATATATATATATATGTACAGTATATATATATATATATGTACAGTATATATATATGTACAGTATATATATATATATGTACAGTATATATATATATATATATGTACAGTATATATATATATATATGTACAGTATATATATATATGTACAGTATATATATATATATATGTACAGTATATATATATATATATATGTACAGTATATATATATATATATATGTACAGTATATATATAAATGTACTGCATTATATTTATTTATTGAGTACTGGGACTGGTATTGAAGCATTTACAGCTAAGAAACAATGTCCCACTGTGGGATATCTTATCTTACCAAAATGGCTTCCGCGGGGCCGACTGTGACTGTGGTGGTGGAGGGGAGGTACCCTGCAGCAGAGGCCGTCACTGTGTAGGTTCCCGGCAGCAGGAGCCTGAAGTAGTCTCCATCCGCTCCTGAGAAAACACATGTTAGATGTGGAGAACGCAGCCCCATCTTTCACCAGCAGAGGTCAGTGTTGCACCCTGCTCCTCACCGCTGGTCACGTCGTGGTTCACTCCAGACACAGAGATCTCAGCTTTTCCCACTGGATTGTTGTTCTCGTCGTAGATAATGCCCTTGATTCCATGATGGACCTGGAGAGAGCATAAGGCACAGCACACGGCATCAAAAACATGCTATTATCTCCTGTCCCTGTGCTCACTTCCTGTTTGTCCTCAGCTCACTACTCACTCATACAATTATACCCCACTCACACAAGACTTAACCTGTGTAGGTACAAAGTGTCCTGGAACTACAGCCATTAATCAGTCATCAAATAAGACCAAACACATCTGATCAAACACAAACAGGCTTGTTCTGGATTACTATTACAGTGTCAGGGCAGGTACCAACACGCCTCTATAAGAAATAACCAATTCTTTGAAAGAAATGTTGTTCAAATGTTTTCCCAGTTCATGATTTGTTAATGATTAAACTCAGGAAAGTCTCAGGAAACAGGGTTAGCATTGCACACTCAGCTCAGACGTCCAAAAATCATATTAATTCATGACGTTTCAGCGTTATGCCTTCATCCGATCATGATTTTCTTCTTCTTTTCACCGTAAAATACCAAGCGGTTGCCAGTCCAGGTGCTCATGGGCTCCAAAGAAGTGGGAGGTCCCAGTGAATCTTAGTAAATTCACAAAGTCGCCATTTTGTTTTGATGCATGAAGCTTCTACAAACCAACTTCCTGCTTATGTTTTTGAATATTGTCACCACTTCTAGACACGGAATGAGGAACTAATTAGACAGTAGTTGACAAAGAATGTGTGTAACTTTTAACACTGAGGAAAGACTTTTAACTGCCCTTGACTGTCTTTGAACGGTTGTGATGTCACATGAAGTGCCTCTACACCACCTCTTGAATGGGGCCCTACACTTACTGCCATGGAGATGCTATTTCTTTGCAGGGACCGGACCTCATTATGAAAGAAAATTATAAATTATTTAGTACTGTTTAATCCATCCATCCATCCATTTTCTTCCGCTTTATCCGTTGCCGGGTCGCGGGGGCAGCAGTCTAAGCAGAGACGCCCAGACTTCCCTATCCACACACACTTCCTCCAGTACTGTTTAATTACACCTCAAAATAGTCTGTAAACCAAAAGGACTTTTTTTGTTTTCATGCTTGTACACACCTGCAGGTTGGAAATAAATAAATAAATGAAATGAAATGGGTTAGCTTCCATCCAGATGTTTATATGAATCTGAGTCTAATCCGGATCCTCCACTTCGCTCTGAACTAAAATCCCAGGTCTCAAACAGAACCACAAATGCTGACATGAAATCTAGCCTCAAAAACTAGAACCAAAGAAGTGGGGGCAATAACTCAGAACAAGCGCCACAGATTGAGACGCCCTCTCTGTGGGGGCTCCTGACCTGCTCCAGGTACGACACCAGCGCCTCCCGGTTGGCGAGCCACTCTCGAGGCAACGCAGACGCCGCTGGGAACTTATCACAGCTCAGCTCCAGAGTGATCTCGAAGCAGTTACTGTAAAGGTAGTTGAAGTCCTGCATCCCTACAACAGACAGACACAGAATCATTAATCAAGTCAAAAAATACAAAAAATATTTATGGTTTAGCGTTGATTTAAAGATGTTATTGATTGTTTTGAATGTTTGGAAAAGCGGCTCCTCAAAACATTGTGGACCTCAGACAAATTGACACTAAAAAGGCAGCTACAGTTTGTTGTGCCCAGAGGCTGTAAATATGAACAGATGTAGTCACGCCTTTCTCCGCCGTAGAAACTAACAAACGGACATCACTTTTGGCTTCTATGGGGCTTTTTCAAAATGGCCGCCGGCAGCCCCTCCCTCAGGAAACAGTGACAAAACGCATTAGTGCATGTGTTAGCTGCACTAGCCGCATTCATTTAACGAGCGCATTCAAAGTCCACAACGGCTAAACTAGACTGGTCCAAAATATATACACCCTTCAACATCGACAGCATCTGGAACCAAGAGGACCAAGAACCACTTTTGGACCAAGAGCCACTTTTGGACCAAGAGCCACTTTTGGACCAAGAGCCACTTTTGGACCAAGACCCACTTTTGGACCAAGACTCACTTTTGGACCAAGAGCCACTGCCACTTTTGGACCAAGAGCCACTTTTGGACCAAGAGCCACTTTTGGACCAAGAGCCACTTTTGGAACAAGAGCCACTTTTGGACCAAGAGCCACTTTTGGACCAAGAGCCACTTTTGGACCAAGAGCCACTTTTGGATCAAGAGCCACTTTTGGAACAAGAGCCACTTTTGGACCAAGAGCCACTTTTGGACCAAGAGCCACTTTTGGACCAAGAACCACTTTTGGACCAAGAACCACTTTTGGATCAAGAGCCACTTTTGGATCAAGAGCCACTTTTGGACCAAGACCCACTTTTGGACCAAGAGCCACTTTTGGACCAAGAGCCACTTTTGGACCAAGAGCCACTTTTGGACCAAGAGCCACTTTTGGACCAAGAACCACTTTTGGACCAAGAGCCACTTTTGGACCAAGAACCACTTTTGGACCAAGAGCCACTTTTGGACCAAGAGCCACTTTTGGACCAAGAGCCACTTTTGGACCAAGAGCCACTTTTGGACCAAGAACCACTTTTGGACCAAGAACCACTTTTGGACCAAGAACCACTTTTGGACCAAGAACCACTTTTGGACCAAGAACCACTTTTGGACCAAGAACCACTTTTGGACCAAGAGCCACTTTTGGACCAAGAACCACTTTTGGACCAAGAGCCACTTTTGGACCAAGAGCCACTTTTGGATCAAGAGCCACTTTTGGACCAAGAGCCACTTTTGGACCAAGAAGCCACTTTTGGACCAAGAGCCACTTTTGGACCAAGAGCCACTTTTGGACCAAGAGCCACTTTTGGACCAAGAGCCACTTTTGGACCAAGACCACTTTTGGACCAAGAGCCACCACTTTTGGACCAAGAGCCACTTTTGGACCAAGAGCCACTTTTGGACCAAGAGCCACTTTTGGAACAAGAGCCACTTTTGGACCAAGAGCCACTTTTGGACCAAGAGCCACTTTTGGACCAAGAGCCACTTTTGGATCAAGAGCCTCTTTTGGACCAAGAGCCACTTTTGGACCAAGAGCCACTTTTGGACCAAGAGCCACTTTTGGACCAAGAACCACTTTTGGACCAAGAACCACTTTTGGATCAAGAGCCACTTTTGGACCAAGAGCCACTTTTGGACCAAGACCCACTTTTGGACCAAGAGCCACTTTTGGACCAAGAGCCACTTTTGGACCAAGAGCCACTTTTGGACCAAGAGCCACTTTTTGACCAAGAACCACTTTTGGACCAAGAGCCACTTTTGGACCAAGAACCACTTTTGGACCAAGAGCCACTTTTGGACCAAGAGCCACTTTTGGACCAAGAGCCACTTTTGGACCAAGAACCACTTTTGGACCAAGAACCACTTTTGGACCAAGAAGCCACTTTTGGACCAGAACCACTTTTGGACCAAGAACCACTTTTGGACCAAGAACCACTTTTGGACCAAGAACCACTTTTGGACCAAGACCCACGTTTGGACCAAGAACCACTTTTGGATCAAGAGCCACTTTTGGACCAAGAGCCACTTTTGGATCAAGAGCCACTTTTGGACCAAGAGCCACTTTTGGACCAAGAGCCACTTTTGGATCAAGAGCCACTTTTGGACCAAGAGCCACTTTTGGACCAAGAGCCACTTTTGGACCAAGAGCCACTTTTGGACCAAGAGCCACTTTTGGACCAAGAACCACTTTTGGACCAAGAACCACTTTTGGACCAAGAACCACTTTTGGACCAAGACCCACGTTTGGACCAAGAACCACTTTTGGATCAAGAGCCACTTTTGGACCAAGACCCACTTTTGGACCAAGAGCCACTGCCACTTTTAGAACAAGAACCACTTTTGGACCAAGAGCCACTTTTGGACCAAGACCCACTTTTGGACCAAGAGCCACTGCCACTTTTGGACCAAGACCCACTTTTGGACCAAGAGCCACTTTTGGACCAAGAGCCACTTTTGGACCAAGAGCCACTTTTGGACCAAGAGCCACTTTTGGACCAAGAGCCACTTTTGGACCAAGAGCCACTTTTGGACCAAGAGCCACTTTTGGACCAAGAGCCACTTTTGGACCAAGAACCACTTTTGGACCAAGAGCCACTTTTGGACCAAGAGCCACTTTTGGACCAAGACCCACTTTTGGACCAAGACCCACTTTTGGACCAAGACCCACTTTTGGACCAAGAGCCACTTTTGGACCAAGAGCCACTTTTGGACCAAGAGCCACTTTTGGACCAAGACCCACTTTTGGACCATCCTGTGAAGCCGTTTTCGAGAGGGAAGAAGACGGCATACAAAAGCATTGGATAATTCTGTTTCCGGGTACACCCCCCCAGGCCTGGGGTAGTATTGCAAGTATGTCAGCGCACATGCTTATGGATATTTTTGAGCCGGGACCCGCCCACATCGGTTGTGCCTAAGACGAGATCTAAACCCTTTTCTGGGGCTGGACCAAAGCAGTGGAACGCCCAGTGTCACAACAAGTAAGTAATTATTTATATAGCGCATTTCACAGCCCAAGGTCACACAAAGCACTTTACACTTCAGATATAACAGAATCCTCCAACCATCACTCTTTACATTTAGAACTATTACATATATAAACTGGAGTACCCGGAGGAAACCTACACTGACATGTTGAGAACACACAAACTGGGGTTTTAACAGTTTTTTAACATGATTTGCTCATGTTTAAAAAAGTCTAATGGGTCATTTTTAAGGATGGATTGTTTTTAGGAGACACACAAGAAAATAACATTACGTCACATCTTTCTGAAAACATGACTCTGTGGAAGTGACTCACGTGGCTCTTTCTTTTGCAATAGTTAAAATGTGGTCTGTTTTATCTCCACAAAGTTCTGTTTCTGTGAAAAGAACAAACGTGTTCTTTGAAATGAAAAACATGCAGCTTCTAGTGGATTTTAAAACAAATACATTTTAAATGTTTCTATGGATAGATGTTATTAACGTGTCTTGCAAACAAAGGTAGATAGACACATAGAAAGATACGATAGTAACAACATGCGTTTGTCTGAACTTCTTAAAAGTATTGGGTTCTTCTACACCAGACAATATAAGGTTGTTGTGATGCTAACCACTCAGCCACAAAGGCCAAATATCCCTATACCCTACTCTACTGTTACTACGGTAACACTGTTCATCCAAGTAAACTAAATCCTTAGTATATTCTTTACGTACTTCTGTCTCCGTTTACAGCAGACCCTCGGTCTTTGCCGCTCACAGAGACTTTCTTCATCAAAGACTTTTCAGAAAGTTAGACATGAGGGCATCTTGGGGAGTGAAAGTTAAAGCCGCGCCGTCAGACCGTGACATCAGACTTGGACAAATGAAGTTGTCAAAATAAACTTAACATGCTCCCACTAAACGCGACTGTGGCTCTTTTCATCTGGGACACAAACTCACAAAGACTTGATGAGACTGGAACCCCGGCCCCGAGAGTCGCTGGAGCCAAACCCAGAGCACATAAACATCAGGCATGTGCCCAAACCCATTGTTACAATAAATCATTAACACACACAAAATAATGTAGATAGATACAGACAGAGAAAGACAGACAGATACAGACAGACAGATACAGACAGATACAGATATATACAGACAGACAGATACAGACAGACAGATACAGACAGACAGATACAGACAGAGAAAGACAGACAGATACAGACAGACAGATACAGACAGATACAGACAGACAGATACAGACAGATATATACAGATATATACAGACAGACAGATACAGACAGACAAATACAGACAGACAGATACTGACAAACAGACAGATACAGACAGACAAATACAGACAGACAGACAAATACAGACAGACAGACAGATACAGACAGATACAGACAGATAGACAGATACAGACAGACAGATACAGGCAGATAGACAGATACAGGCAAACAGACAGATACAGACAGACAGACAGATACAGACAGACAGACAGATACAGACAAGACAGACAGACAGACAGACAGACAGACAGACAGATACAGACAGACAGATACAGGCAGGCAGAAAAATCACACGTGGCCAGCCCAGTGGGATTACTCCCCATTAGTAGCTTACTCCCCATTGGATGAAATCACTACTTTCAAATAAGTATAATCTCTCGTGATTGGCTAGCAGATCTGTCACTATTGGTCACCCTGCCTCATAATTAATGTAATAATATTTATATAAATATATATATTCATATTATGCTGCATATATTGTATCCTATGTAGGCTACTACACTATTATTAGGCCATCAATGACATGAATGAATTTATAGAGGAAATTAACTGAATGAACTGTTTTATGGCATTAAAACAACGTTTTAATGCCATACACACACACACATATATATATATATATATATATATGGTGCTACTTTGAACCGAGAATTATAACACATATTTTCAGTTGGTTCATACTTTTTCTTTTAGGTATGTACATAATTCCAGATGAGTTAATTCAGTTTGGATGCCTTCAGTGTGAATCTACAATGTTCATAGTCATGAAAAAAAAGACAAAATCCAAACTTTTGGTCTGTACTGTACATACATATATCCTTTGATGAGCACTTACACTTTCAACATGTCTTTTGTCCTATTGGATTTATTTAATTGATTTTGACATGACAAGCTATAATCAATCATGATGAAATATTTCTCTGTGTGCTGTGTGTGTGTGTGTGTGTGTGTGTGTGTGTGTGTGTGTGTGTGTGTGTGTGTGTGTGTGTGTGTGTGTAAACAGTTTGAGCATTTACAAAATCCGGGTCTACAGTGTGCTGACCTGATCCATGCTGCAGACTGACTGAAAGAGTTGTGCAGCATGGATCAAGTTGTGCACCCCCTCAACCCTGATTAGCATTTGTATAGCTCACAGCATTGTCATTTACATGTTAAAGCCTCCTGTGGAGGAGGGAGGAGGGGACAACAAACTACCGTCAACAGCCGAATCCCAGAAGTTTCACAGTAATATACAGGGCCGAAAAGAGACGAAAATCACCCTTTTCATGCAGTGATTGTTCTGAAATAAAAGATGACTTAAAGGAACAATATGTAAAAATCTGGCCAAAAGTGGTACTGCAGTCACAGTCAATATTTTGTAGTCCTCTCCCACTCTCCCTGACTCAGGTTGCCAGATTCACACCAAATCCAGCAGCAAACACAGGGAATTATTTTATCAGTTGTTTGTCCGTCTCCATTCACATTGCCATGACAGCCGTGCTAATGCTGAATGAATGTTTTGATTAATGTTTTTTTATTATTATTATTTGGACATTTGAGATAAAAAACAAAAACAAGCAATGTAATTATACATAGTTTATGCAAAATAAATAAGCAATTGATGTCCAAAATAGGAGTGGGAAGAATGGATGTTGGAACGTATTTCTTCAGCGTATCAACATCAGGGTTTGCTCAAGAGGATATCACCTTTCAATTTTATTTATTCCCTATTTTTTAGACAAACATGTAAAAGTCCCACATCAAAAAGAGACTAACATTATTTTAATTGGGGTACATGTGGTCTTAAATGATTATTTTTACAATTAAGCTATAATCTGCAAAAAAAACGTCTTGACCTTCGTCTTTTACCGTTTTTAGAGCAATTTGTCATAGAATGTGATAACATGCAATAAATACAAAAAAACATAGCCCGGGATCAAACCCGGGTTCTTGCATCGTAAGCGCACAGTTTAGACCACTAGACCACCGATTGACACGAATAGAGACTCTGTGAAGAACGGAGTCAAACTAGAAAATTCTGCATTACACGTGAACTTTTATCAGCTGTCTCAATTGTTCAAAGGCGTCCCGATATAAATCCTCGTTTTAGTCTTTGTTTTGTCATGAATTATTTGAGAGTCATAACAAGACCTTTTTTAGTTCTGCGCCACATGTTATTTTACCTCTGAGATTAATGAGCCGCGCGGAGTTCTGGCAACCCAATCACGGACTTACATGACACTTCCTGATTGGCGAAACGGCGGAGGGTAGGACATCAAAATCAAAACAATAACAACTTTTACGGGTCGTAAAACTAATTTTGATAATCAAATATCTCGGCTGAACTACTGTTATCAGTTAAAGATGAATTCGAAAAGAGTATGATTTAATAACGCCTTTTGAAATATTCGGGTCATTTAATGATGACTTGACATGCAAATATTACATATTGCTCCTTTAAAGCTAGAGATGCGCTGATTATATTCATGGATGAGTCTAATGTAGAGTTCTTAGTTTTGTGTAAACAGCAGGTTTGTCCTTCGCACACCTCTCTCTCTCTCTGTCTCTCTGTCTCTCTCAGGTGAGTGTAGCGCAGACCGGTGCACGCTTGATAAACATGTAAACTTTAAATACAATTGGAATTCAACTCCACAATCAGCACCAACCAAACTGCAGGAATAAAAATGCCAATTTTACAACATGACATTTCATTTTGACAAGGAAAGAAGATAACAAGCTGATAACGTTACGTAATTGCTCACAAGCAACCAAAAGGTGTGCAACCTAAACTGCCTCAGACAAGAATCGAACCCGGATTCCCCGGGTCCTAATCTGCAACGCTAACCATTCGGCCAACATAGTATCACTAGACAAAACAGGTTTGCACGCAGTCTTATACCTGAGCGTTTAAGTCGCTGGCAGAGCTAAAGCGGACTTAACCTGCCACCTAGTGGCGATAGGATGTAATATGTTTCACGCAGCTGCGTGTTTCATGAAAAGCGTGAGTGAAGACGACAAAACGAAATGGGACCTACTGTACGCAGACATGGGGAGAACATGCAAACTCCACTCAGAAAGGCCCTGGTCCGGCCGGGATTCGAACCCAGGACCTTCTTGCTGAGAGGCGAGAGTGCTATCCACTCAGCCACCGTGCCGCCCAAAATATGTCACTAATATATTTTGGTGCGAGGCCATGGAGAGACTTGTAACAAGCAGAGCTGTTTTAAAGTCTATTCTCTGAGCCACAGGAAGCCAGTGCAGAGACCTGAGGACTGGACTAATATGGTCGTACTTCCTGGTTCTTGTCAGGACTAATGTGGTCGTACTTCCTGGTTCTAGTCAGGACTGGAGCTGCTGCATTTTGAATGTACTGCAGCTGTTTTACAGCCTGTTTGGACAGACCTGTGAGCAGGCCATTGCAGTAGTCTAACCTACTGGAGACAAATGCATGGATAAGAATCTCCAAGTCTGCTTTAGACACTATGTTTTTGATCCTGGCAATGTTTTTTAGATGGTAAAAAGCTGCTGATGTTACTGATTTGATGTGGCTATTAAAATGTAAGTCTGAGTCCAGTATTACCCCTAGATTTCTGACCTTGTTGGAAGGTTTTAGGGAGAGAGACTGTAGGTGACAGATGACGCTCTCTCTTTGTTTCTGGGGACCAAAGACAATCATTTCAGTTTTGTCTGCGTTTAGCTGAAGGAAGTTGTTTTGCATCCACTCACTGATCTGTTGGATACAGTGAAGGAGTGAGTCCACTGGTCCATGTTCTCCTGCAGTCAGTGAGACATAGATCTGAGTGTCGTCTGCATAGTTATGAAAAACTTCGTTTCTGCGTATTAACTGACCTAACGGCAGCATGTAGAGATTGAACAGAAGAGGTCCCAGGATCGACCCCTGTGGTACTCCACAGGTCAGGGCCATATGATCTGAGACACAGTTTCCAATCTCCACAAAGTACTTCCTGTCCTCAAGGTAAGACCTAAACCAACTTAGGGCGGTGCCAGCGACTCCAACCCAGTCCTCTAATCTCTGTAAGAGGATCTCATGGTCGACAGTGTCAAAGGCAGCACTCAGATCTAACAAGATTAAGATTGAGACTTTGCCTGCGTCAGTGTTCAGCCGGATATTGTTTGTAACCTTAACAAGAGCAGTCTCAGTGCTGTGGTGGGGTCTAAAGCCGGACTGAAACATATCAAATGAGTTGTTGATTATAAGAAATCTAGTAAGCTGTAGGTAGACAACTTTTTAGAGGCGGGGGCTAAGGTGGGCGGGGCTTTAGTACAATGTAAATCAATCAATCCATAAAAGCATAACAAAATCCTAAAGCAAGGACAGAAAACAAATAAGAAGAATAATAATCAGACTTTTTTCCAAAGAGAAGGCATCAAGAATCTTCACCTTTTTTGGAGCTTTTTTTGCTCTGTTTCAACTGAACATTCTGCTAAATTGTGAAAGTGTTCAACATAATAAAGCTCACAGTATTTAAATCTTTCTCACTTGACTTAAATATCAAAAGTGAAACACTTTCTTTATGTTATAAGTCTCCAAAGAACCCTAATGATATTGACAAAAGACATGACTTAATATTCAGTTTAAATGTCTATATGTGTGTGTGGACTCGGTCGCCGATGTCTCCGCCTTCGACTGCCGCCCAGTCCTCTCTGCACCGTTTCGCCACCACGGACCCCTCTGCAGGTGGAGGGCCCACAGGAGGGACTGCCCACGTCACCCCTTTGGGCTGAGCCCGGCCGGGCCCCATGGGCTAAGGCCCGGCCACCAGGCGCTCGCATACGAGCCCCGACCCCAGGCCTGGCTCCAGGGTGGGGCCCCGGCTGCGCCATGCCGGGCGACGTCACTGCTCTTGAATTAGTGCTGTCCATGGTGTCTTCGGACTGCGCTTCATCTGACTTGTCACCTGAGACCTGTCTGCCATGGGAGACCCTACCAGGGGCATGAAGCCCCAGACAGCATAGCTCCCAGGATCATCCGAGTACTCAAACTCCCCCACCACGTTAAGGTGGCAGTCCAGGAGGGACCAGCTCTACACTCTCCATCGGATACTCGAGGGTTCATGGGAGTTCGCCCAACCTGTCCACATGTGCTTTGTGGATTTGGAGAAGGCGTTTGACCGTGTTCCCCGGGGGGTTCTCTGGAGGGTTCTCCGGGAGTACGGGGTCCGGGGTCCTCTGCTGAGGGCTGTTCGGTCCCTGTATGACCGGAGCCAGAGCTGTGTTCGCATTGCCGGCAGTAAGTCAGACCTGTGCTCGGTGAATGTTGGCCTCCGACAGGGCTGCCCTTTGTCACCGGTTCTGTTCACTGTATTTATGGACAGAATTTCTAGGCGCAGCCAGGGGCCGGAGGGGGTCCGGTTCTTTTTGCGGACGATGTTGTCCTGTTGGCTCCAACGAACCAGGACCTGCAACATGCACTGGAGCGGTTTGCAGCCGAGTGTGAAGCGGCTGGGATGAGAATCAGCACCTCCAAATCCGAGGCCATGGTGCTCGACCAGAAAAAGGTGCCTTGCCCTCTGCAGGTGGGTGGAGAGGTCCTTCCTCAAGTGGAGGAGTTCAAGTATCTCGGGGTCTTGTTCACGAGTGAGGGAAGGATGGAGCGTGAGATTGACAGGCGGATCGGTGCAGCGTGCGCAGTGATGCGGTCGCTGTATCGGACCGTTGTGGTAAAGAGGGAGCAGCGTCTGCAGTCAGAGCTGTATCGGACCGTTGTGGTAAAGAGGGAGCTGAGCCGAAAGGCAAAGCTCTCGATTTACCGGTCAATCTTCGTTCCCTCCCTCACCTATGGTCATGAGCTTTGGGTAATGACCGAAAGAACGAGATCGCGGATACAAGCGGTCGAAATGAGCTTCCTCCGCAGAGTGGCTGGGCGCTCCCTTAGAGATAGGGTGAGGAGCTCAGTCACACGGGAGGAGCTCGGAGTAGAGCCGCTGCTTCTCCACGTCGAGAGGAACCAGTTGAGGTGGCTCGGGCATCTGTTCCGGATGCCTCCTGGACGCCTCCCTGGGGAGGTGTTCCGGGCACGTCCCACCGGGAGGAGGCCCCGGGGAAGACCCAGGACCCGCTGGAGGGACTATGTCTCTCAGCTGGCCTGGGAACGCCTTGGGGTCCCCCCGGACGATCTGGAGGAGGTGTGTGTGGATAGGGAAGTCTGGGCGTCTCTGCTTAGACTGCTGCCCCCGCGACCCGGCAACGGATGAAGCGGAAGAAAACGGACGGATGGATGTCTATATTTGTATTCTTTTATACATAATAACCCAAAATGCTGCCCCCACAGGACAGAACCAGAATCAGTCTCAGATGATTCAACATCTGTTTGGCAGAAGCCGCATGAGTCTGATTCCTGCAGACCCCAAATCTTGAGCATCTTTTTGTGGATAACATTATTTAGAATTTTGATTGTAAAGAATCTGGTTTGTGAGTCTGTGAGGTGTGACAAACTTCTGTTCAGTGACGTGTTCAAGTCTAAACAAGTATTTTTCAGTATTAATTATGAGTTTCCATTTATTCCACAAGACCCCAGATAATCAGTTACACACCTGTGAGAACTGATATTTATATTAGTTTTTAATTCTCTGAGAATATTCTAATAAATGTCCTTCTTAACAATATGGTTGATGAATATATTCTAATAACAATATGGTTGATGAATATATTCTAATAACAATATGGTTGATGAATATATTCTAATAACAATTTGGTTGATGAATATATTCTAATAACAATATGGTTGATGAATACTTCTCTCAGAGTCAGGGCTTTCCATCAGTGAGAACATCAGAGTTGATATGATCTGCTGCAAAACACTTTCAGCAGTTTATCTGAAACAAAACCAACTCTACAGATTCTTTAAGGAACTTTGAACCATATTTAATTTGGTTAAATAAGTAAAACAAAAACACCTCTTTTGAGAATATGAAATGATTTATTTCAGTAACTTTGTGTTTTTGTACATTTTTAAACTAATGAGACTAAGATCCACTTGTTGTTTCCACCACTGCAACACATTACCCTCCAAACTTAAAGTTTCCCTCTCCCTATATGTGTGTATATATGTGTGTTTATATGTGTGAGCCTGTGTGCGTGTGTGTCAGCATGTGTGTGCGTGTTTGTGTGCTTATTTTTGTGTGGGCCCGTGTTTGTTTATGTGTGTATCTGTGTGTGTGCGTGTGTGCGTGTGCATGTGTGTCAATTTGTGTGTCTGTGTGAGTCAGTTTGTGTAGGTGTGTGTGCGTGTTTGTGTATATCTGTCTGTGTGTTTGTGTATATCTGTGTGTGTGTATGTGTGTGTGTGTGTATGTCTCTGTGTGTGTACGTGTTTGAGTGTGTATGCATGTCTGTGTGTATGTGTTTGTTTGTGTGTGTCTTCATGTGTTTGTGTATATCTGTGTGTGTGTATGTGTGTGTATGTCTCTGTGTGTGTACGTGTTTGAGTGTGTATGCATGTCTGTGTGTATGTGTTTGTTTGTGTGTGTCTTCATGTGTTTGTGTAAGTGTGTGTGTGTGTTTGTGTGTGTGTTAAAATAAAGTGTAAATAAGTGTATTGTCCGTTGCTCTATAATAGAACCAAATGTTGTCATGTTTTTGTGTCTCACTTGTCTGTGTCCAATCCAGTTTTCTCAAATGTGTTTGTGTGTCTGAAGAGTTGTTGTGTTGCTCAGAGCCGCTCAGGCTGGTGGGAGGGGCCAGTCGCTGCACCGGGACAGTGGAGCTCAGACTCAGAGGAGAGTGGGGACGAGTGGAGAAGGAGAGAGGAGGCTGGACCGAGGAGGACTCAGCTGCTGTGTGCAGAGACCTGGACTGTGGGTCTGCTGTTTCTGGACGTCAGAGAGATGGTTTTCCAGTCAGTCATGTGTGGATGATCTCATCTGTCTGCATGAAGAGGAGGAAGACTAAAGTGATAGACTGTGTTTATGACAACACTTTCGCCTCCTCCTCGTCTGGTGCGGAGGTGATGTGTTCAGGTAAAAGTCAAAGTCTAACTTAAATCTCTGCTGGAGCTGATGTCTCTGTCTCTGCAGACTTACTGAACCGTCCAGTCCTGTCCCTCTCTGTGACTGTGGGGGCCTCCCAGGTCCAGGACTCCCAGGCCCAGGACTCCCAGGCCCAGGTCTCCCAGGCCCAGGACTCCCAGGCCCAGGTCTCCCAGGTCCAGGTCTCCCAGGTCCAGGTCTCCCAGGTCGGGGTGCAGGTGGTGCGTGTGCAGTTGGGGTCTCAGTTCTCGGTCCAGTGCTCGGTGAAGCCTCAGTTCCCAGGAGGCTCCTTCCAGCTGCTCTCTCCCTCTGGGAACCACACCCTGCCTGCTGTCAATCACTCTGCACACGTCAGTAGGTCAGACAGACGTCAGTAGGTCAGGCAGACGTCAGTGGGTCAGACAGACGTCAGTAGGTCAGACAGACGTCAGTAGGTCAGACAGACGTCAGTAGGTCAGACAGACGTCAGTGGGTCAGACAGACGTCAGTAGGTCAGACAGACGTCAGTGGGTCAGACAGACGTCAGTGGGTCAGACAGACGTCAGTAGGTCAGACAGACGTCAGTAGGTCAGACAGACGTCAGTGGGTCAGACAGACGTCAGTAGGTCAGACAGACGTCAGTGGGTCAGACAGACGTCAGTAGGTCAGGCAGACGTCAGTGGGTCAGACAGACGTCAGTAGGTCAGACAGACGTCAGTAGGTCAGACAGACGTCAGTAGGTCAGGCAGACGTCAGTGGGTCAGACAGACGTCAGTAGGTCAGACAGACGTCAGTAGGTCAGACAGACGTCAGTAGGTCAGACAGACGTCAGTGGGTCAGACAGACGTCAGTAGGTCAGACAGACGTCAGTGGGTCAGACAGACGTCAGTGGGTCAGACAGACGTCAGTAGGTCAGACAGACGTCAGTAGGTCAGACAGACGTCAGTGGGTCAGACAGACGTCAGTAGGTCAGACAGACGTCAGTGGGTCAGACAGACGTCAGTAGGTCAGGCAGACGTCAGTGGGTCAGACAGACGTCAGTAGGTCAGACAGACGTCAGTAGGTCAGACAGACGTCAGTAGGTCAGACAGACGTCAGTGGGTCAGACAGACGTCAGTGGGTCAGACAGACGTCAGTAGGTCAGACAGACGTCAGTGGGTCAGACAGACGTCAGTGGGTCAGACAGACGTCAGTGGGTCAGACAGACGTCAGTGGGTCAGACAGACGTCAGTGGGTCAGACAGACGTCAGTGGGTCAGACAGACGTCAGTGGGTCAGACAGACGTCAGTAGGTCAGACAGACGTCAGTGGGTCAGACAGACGTCAGTGGGTCAGACAGACGTCAGTAGGTCAGACAGACGTCAGTAGGTCAGGCAGACGTCAGTAGGTCAGGCAGACGTCAGTAGGTCAGACAGACGTCAGTAGGTCAGGCAGACGTCAGTGGGTCAGACAGACGTCAGTAGGTCAGACAGACGTCAGTAGGTCAGACAGACGTCAGTGGGTCAGACAGACGTCAGTGGGTCAGACAGACGTCAGTAGGTCAGACAGACGTCAGTGGGTCAGACAGACGTCAGTGGGTCAGACAGACGTCAGTAGGTCAGACAGACGTCAGTAGGTCAGACAGACGTCAGTAGGTCAGACAGACGTCAGTGGGTCAGACAGACGTCAGTGGGTCAGACAGACGTCAGTAGGTCAGACAGACGTCAGTAGGTCAGACAGACGTCAGTGGGTCAGACAGACGTCAGTGGGTCAGACAGACGTCAGTGGGTCAGACAGACGTCAGTGGGTCAGACAGACGTCAGTGGGTCAGACAGACGTCAGTAGGTCAGACAGACGTGAGTGGGTCAGACAGACGTCAGTGGGTCAGACAGACGTCAGTAGGTCAGACAGACGTCAGTGGGTCAGACAGACGTCAGTAGGTCAGACAGACGTCAGTAGGTCAGACAGACGTCAGTAGGTCAGGCAGACGTCAGTAGGTCAGACAGACGTCAGTAGGTCAGACAGATAGCACGGAGCAAGGCCATTCAGGCATTTATAGACAAACAGAAGGACTTTAAAATCAATCCTGTAGCGGTACTACTACTACTACAACATGGTACTACTACTTCTACTACTATAGCTACAACATGGTACTACTACTTCTACTACTATAGCTACTACAAGTTACTGCTAATACTACTACTACGACAAGGTGTTACTTCTACTACTACAGCTACATCAAAAGGTACTACTACTTCTGCTACTAAAAGGTATTACTAATACTACTACTACTTTATTTTTTGTTCTTGTTTTGTTTTTATATCCTAGCCCGGAGCGACCCGGGGGGAGAGGGCCCAGAGGGAGGGGAGCGACCCGGGGGAGAGGGCCCAGAGGGAGGGTAGCAACCCGGGGGGAGAGGGCCCAGAGGGAGGGGAACGACCCGGGGGAGAGGGCCCAGAGGGAGGGGAACGACCCGGGGGAGAGGGCCCAGAGGGAGGGGAGTGACCCGGGGGAGAGGCCCGGGTACTGCAGGACTTGGCCTCTTTAAAAGTGGCCTCACCTGCTAAAAGACCTCCCTGAGCTCCTTTGACTGGGCTTGGGGATGTGCCCACAGTGCTTCAAGAAATGTGCTTCAGTTATCCTTCGTCAGATCTACCAGGTGGATACCAGGTCGATTAATGAAATATTTTGTGTTTTTGCGTCTTCTTTGATTTGTTTTATCCATTGTTTAATTTTGTTTGCCACACACATGTACAGGACAGACTTCTGCAGTACACCAGACACACACATGTACAGGACAGACTTCTGCAGTACACCAGACACACACATGTACAGGACAGACTTCTGCAGTACACCAGACACACACATGTACAGGACAGACTTCTGCAGTACACCAGACACACACATGTACAGGACAGACTCTGAGAAGGGACGCTTCAAGTTACTACTGCTACTGCTACTGCAAAACAACTTATGCTTATACAAGGTGCTGCTACTGCTTCTGCTACAGCGACTGTGGTTCAGACCTGGTTCAGACCTGGTTCAGACCTGGTTCAGACCTGGTTCAGACCTGCTTCAGACCTGCTTCAGACCTGGTTCAGACCTGGTTCAGACCTGCTTCAGACCTGGCTTAGACCTGGTTCAGACCTGGCTTAGACCTGGTTCAGACCTGGTTCAGACCAGTGGATGTCTTGTTGTTTCAGGTTAAGTCCAGAAGAGGCGCTAGTGAGACACATGAGACCATGATCCTGATGAATGAGGTCATCACAGAAGAGGAGAGAGAAGGAGACGGACCAGGAGAGGAGAGAGGAGGAGACGGACCAGGAGAGGAGAGAGGAGGAGACGGACCAGGAGAGGAGAGAGGAGGAGACGGACCAGGAGAGGAGAGAGGAGGAGACGGACCAGGAGAGGAGAGAGGAGGAGACGGACCAGGAGAGGAGAGAGGAGGAGACGGACCAGGAGAGGAGAGAGGAGGAGACGGACCAGGAGAGGAGAGAGGAGGAGACGGACCAGGAGAGGAGAGAGGAGGAGACGGACCAGGAGGAGAGGAGAGAGGAGAAGACGGACCAGGAGGAGAGGAGAGAGGAGGAGACGGACCAGGAGAGGGAGAGAGGAGGAGACGGACCAGATGAGGAGAGAGGAGGAGATGGACCAGGAGAGGAGAGAGGAGGAGACGGACCAGAGGAGAGGAGAGAGGAGGAGACGGACCAGATGAGGAGAGAGGAGGAGATGGACCAGGAGAGGAGAGAGGAGGAGACGGACCAGGAGGAGAGGAGAGGAGAGAGGAGGAGACGGACCAGAAGAGGAGAGAGGAGGAGACGGACCAGGAGAGGAGAGAGGAGGAGACGGACCAGGAGAGGAGAGAGGAGGAGAGGGAGCAGGAGAAATGAGTGAAGTGTAAATATTTCCCATGATGCTCTGGGTGTAAACGCCTCCTTCTGTTCAGCTTTGATCCTGTTGTTTTATTTCTCTCTGTTTGGGCTCAGAATGAAAAAGCTGTGGATGGAATCTGTCTCATTTATCAACGACACTTGTATGGCACATTCACACACGGATCATACACAGATGTGAAAACAATATTATCTGTTTCTATATTATCTGTATTTAGTGTCTTTTATTGTGTGTACATAATACTGTGTGTTTACTGCGGCTTCTTATATAATCATCTAATTATATGTCATGAGATACCATCAAGACCTAGACCATGGGGGTGTGTGTGTAACCATTGTCATTTATGATCAAAAAAATAATAAAACATTAATAAATGGAACTTGTTGGATGGATTTTGTCACAAAGTTCAATGTGTGTGGTTCTAAAGTCAGGTACCCCAGCTTTAAACAGCAGTCTGCAGTTTCCACGGCGACCGAGGGAGCTCTGAACCAAAGGTACCAGTGACAGAACAGACACAGAACCATGGACACAACTGGTCTGAACCAAAGGTACCAGTGACAGAACAGACTTTCACAGGTGAGGTGTGGGTCTGATGAGAGTAAAGGACTTTCACAGGTGAGGTGTGGGTCTGATGAGAGTAAAGGACTTTCACAGGTGAGGTGTGGGTCTGATGAGAGTAAAGGACTTTCACAGGTGAGGTGTGGGTCTGATGAGAGTAAAGGACTTTCACAGGTGAGGTGTGGGTCTGATGAGAGTAAAGGACTTTCACAGGTGAGGTGTGGGTCTGATGAGAGTAAAGGACTTTCACAGGTGAGGTGTGGGTCTGATGAGAGTAAAGGACTTTCACAGGTGAGGTGTGGGTCTGATGAGAGTAAAGGACTTTCACAGGTGAGGTGTGGGTCTGATGAGAGTAAAGGACTTTCACAGGTGAGGTGTGGGTCTGATGAGAGTAAAGGACTTTCACAGGTGAGGTGTGGGTTTGATGAGAGTAAAGGACTTTCACAGGTGAGGTGTGGGTCTGATGAGAGTAAAGGACTTTCACAGTTGGTGCTGACTAAAAACTATTTTGATCCCACAGAATGAACCGTTGGAGATCTTCAGTTTAATGTTTTTCTTCTCGTTTCTTAATGATTTTTGAAATATCCAGAAAAATACATGGATGTGAAGGTCACCTCAACACAGTGGTTTTAAAAGAATCTTTTTACACAAATTACATTTTTTTCTGATTAAAATATGTTGGAACTTGAACACTGATGGGGTTTGCTGAAGTTTATGCCATTTTTTTTTATGATATAATTTTTATGCAATTTACAGAAAAAAAAGCAATCTACATGTGAATAAGAGGCTTGTATGAATCTGCATGTGTGAAAGTTCTACATAAATCTATACTAGTTTCTAGACACTTTATATCACTGAAAAATATAAGTTATGCTGAATAAATGAATATTTTTTAAGGTGATCGTCGGTCGCACCGCGTGACATTTTTAAGGGAAACTCCAAAAACTCTGAATTCATGATTTGAAACTGTTTGTACATGACATTCTAAAGCTTTGACCAACTGCTGTAAACATTCATATTCTCTCTATTCTGGAATTGGTCTCTTAAAAAAACCTTATCCTGTCCTCAGTGTGGGCGGAGCTTCAGCAGGAGGTGCAGGAGAGGGAGGCGCAGGAAGGGGGAGGTGCAGGAGGGGGAGGCGCAGGAAGGGGGAGGAGCTGAGGCGCTTCTGCTGCTCTCTGTGCAACCTGAGGACGCTCCCTGTCTCACCTGGAGAAACCCGGCTCCAGATAAGTTAGGAGCGCTACGTCCGCGCACTAACTTCTCTCCGGAGACTTCTCTCTCGCTGCTACTGTGTGTATTACAAGTCACGCTGCTTCTATTGACGGAAGTGAGCGAGAGAGAAGTCTCCGGAGAGAAGTTAGTGCGCGGACGTAGCGCACCTCAGATTACTACGCCTCACAATATAGTACCCGTTTTATCCGCTGAGAAAATCGACAGTTACATTTCTGTGTTACTATACTTTGCAGTGTAACACGTTACGTAACTATATACATTTAATAGGGAACACTTGGAAGAGTTTGGTAGCTTCTAGCGGGAGCTACCTTTTGGGTCCTATACAGTATACAGAGGAGGCTGCGTTTGTGCTCCCGTTTTTGCTCCGTTTGCATGACAGAGCGCACGGACTAAGATCACACAGGTACGTATTAAAGAAGCTATACCCGATTTTTTTTCTAAGTAGTTCATAAAAATGCTTTTTACTACATAGAAGTTGTATCATAATACATAATTTAATTGAAAACTTGAGGTCATTGATTCCACTGTGTATGAAATTCAGGCAGTGAAAAGTGCTGAGTATAGACTGAGCGGGCCGCTCGTTCTCCTCCACTCACAGAACAAGCAGCGAACAGCCTGCGTCCTCTAGTCTCTACAGCGCTGCTTAACACCAGGGCTTCGACTTCAAAATTTTAATATAATTCTAAAATAAAAAATATATACATATTTGAACAAATATTAGACAACCCTTATAATTAGAAATGTATTTAATGACTGCAAATAAAATAGTTAGCTCCCAAAGGTTTCACCGGGACGTGCTAGGCAGGTAACAGCTAAGCTAGCTAGCTGTTTCATGGTTACTTCCGGGTTTTTCGCGATCGCTTTTTGTCACTTGAAAACAGTATTTTTGTCATGAAAACGTTGACAGCAAATTCTGAAATCGTCCGTGCATGTGTGTTAAGGATGTATATGTATACTGTATTGTCCGATTGACGTTTAATGGTGTTGATTGATTGATATGTATTTGTTTATTGAGCGTGGCTAGCTCCGCTAGCTTCTCTACACAGACAAGTGTGCAGAAAAACTGCACAATGTAGTGACAGGCGCTGATAGCTTGTTGTACTTGCAGAGTAATGGCAGTATTTTACACACCTGAATTACAAACAGAGATTGCATTGGGGCTGCGGTCATTATTGGTTTGAGAGTTCTGTTATCAAGAAAAAATGATCGGAAGAATTGCATTCAAGTCAATGGAGTGTTCTACTGCTGCTGTGAGGAGCTGTATAATAAATTATAATTAAATATTAGAATATATTCTAATGTTTAAATTAATACATCCGGACGCGAAACGTATTCTTTTACTTATATATTGTGTTAGCAGTGCATTGCTTTAGTGCCATTTCATCAGTGATTGTTGCACAGCTTACAAGTTACGCTAATGCTAATGTTAGCATACGTATCAGATCGCAAATAAAACTAGGTGGCTCTGTGTTATGAGAGCGCAGGTGAAATGAGAAGCCTGTGAGCGAGCTGGGGGGCGGTGCTAAACATTCAAACATTGTAGAAACGGGTATAGCGCCTTTAACTAGTCTAAGGTAAGGTAAGAACATATGTCAGTATGCAAAAACGGTGAACTATTCCTTTAATGTGACCAAACCCCTTTTCGTTGATATTCTCTATTTTCATTTGTAGTCAATAAACCCACGATAACTTGAATCATCGTTTAAGCGTCCTGTTTTCCAATCTTTTGATATCTCTGGCTGATTTCGTACTCATAACCTATCAGATTTGCAAGACTGATCGAGGCAGATTAGTTGGATCTGTGCAGACTTTTCAAACTCTGCTGGTGCCCCAAATAAATAAATCAGATCCCACTTGTGTAGAACGGCGAGACTCTGATCTGGAGACTAGCCGCTCCACACTACAATTTTCTTACCCTACATTTCTGTATCAAACTCTGAACACGTCAGTCAAATCTTTTTTGACAACAACCCCCACAGACAAGGAGTGAGATTACAAGCATTTCAGCGCACATGCTCATGGACCTTTTTTGAGCCGGGACCCGCCTCCACTGGTTCGGACATGAATACATAAATAATTTAGATTTGGTAAATTTCAAATACAATTACAACTTATGATTGGTCTAAATAAATCTACGATCACAAACCGTCTTTATGGCTTATTTTGTCATGTCTGTTCTCCCGTGTCTTCCGCTTTCCTTTCTAGACCATAACAATCCAAGCTTTTCAGCAGAATGACCATCGCAGCCTGAACCAGGACACGTGCCGGGCTCGTGTGGAGTGATGGATTTTTGGCTCCGGTGTTTTCTCCCGCGGTGAAATATGCACAAACGCACTCACCGGTCCAAACCAGCTATTCCACCATATGTGCCACATCATAATCAGAGGTTTTAATTGTGCCGCGCTGCAGTCGAGATGCACACGCACTTTTAAATGAACGCCATAAATCTTTTTTTTGCAGGAATGTACATCGCAAAACATGCATTACTCAAGACGCGGTGGACACATACATTATACACTGCAAGTACCAACATATGAGATGGAGGAGCAGAAGAAGAGAGAGAATACTAATACACACTGTTAATGGTTGGTCCCTGATGGTCTGTCTCTTCATTTTTATTTGTCTAATTACTCTAATGCGTCGTCTTTATTAGTTCACACTTTTCCTTCTAAAACACAGAGAAAAACGAGACACATTTTAATAGGTTTTTTCCTTTCTTTTCCCAAATGCTCTCCATGTGCCATAAAAAGTAAAAACTAAAACAAAGGAAAAATGGAATATTCAATTTAATTCCACTTTTAAAAAAAAACAGTTAAGTGCTGTACACACGTCTACAAACACAATATACTATAAAAACGTCTAAAGGAGCAGGAATTTCAAAAAAAGTCAACCCACGGAGTAAAAAACCCTTGTTCAGTCCATTGAGTGTTGTCTCTGTTCTTAGTTCTTGTGTTTCACATTCAGTTTTGTTTCTCGATTCTTGTTTATTGTAACTGACATTTACATACTGTGGGATGAATAAAGGATTTCTTAGTCTGAGTTAGTTAGATACTTTATTGATCCTGAAGGAGAAGTGCAGGTGTAGCAGCAAAAACAGATCCAACCACACAAACAAAGTCGTTCAGGTCACAGCAGCAGAGGTGGAGATGGTTCAGACCATTGTCTCTGCTCTGGTCCAAAGTCAAATGATAAATGCTTCATTAGCATTTTTCATAAAGTTAGCATTCCTCCTGTGGATTTTCACCTGATCCACTTGGTTTGGACCATGAATCCTCTCTGCTCTGGTCTGGACCAGTGTAAAACCATGAATCCTCTCTGCTCTGGTCTGGACCAGTGTAAAACCATGAATCCTCGCTCTGGTCTGGACCAGTGTAAAACCATGAATCCTCTCTGCTCTGGTCTGGACCAGTGTAAAACCATGAATCCTCTCTGCTCTGGTCTGGACCAGTGTAAAACCATGAATCCTCTCTGCTCTGGTTTGGACCAGTGTAAAACCATGAATCCTCTCTGCTCTGGTCTGGACCAGTGTAAAACCATGAATCCTCTCTGGTCTGGACCAGTGTAAAACCATGAATCCTCTCTGCTCTGGTCTGGACCAGTGTAAAACCATGAATCCTCTCTGCTCTGGTCTGGACCAGTGTAAAACCATGAATCCTCTCTGCTCTGGTCTGGACCAGTGTAAAACCATGAATCCTCTCTGCTCTGGTCTGGACCAGTGTAAAACCATGAATCCTCTCTGCTCTGGTCTGGACCAGTGTAAAACCATGAATCCTCTCTGGTCTGGACCAGTGTAAAACCATGAATCCTCTCTGCTCTGGTCTGGACCAGTGTAAAACCATGAATCCTCTCTGCTCTGGTCTGGACCAGTGTAAAACCATGAATCCTCTCTGCTCTGGTCTGGACCAGTGTAAAACCATGAATCCTCTCTGCTCTGGTCTGGACCAGTGTAAAACCATGAATCCTCTCTGCTCTGGTTTGGACCAGTGTAAAACCATGAATCCTCTCTGCTCTGGTCTGGACCAGTGTAAAACCATGAATCCTCTCTGGTCTGGACCAGTGTAAAACCATGAATCCTCTCTGCTCTGGTCTGGACCAGTGTAAAACCATGAATCCTCTCTGCTCTGGTCTGGACCAGTGTAAAACCATGAATCCTCTCTGCTCTGGTCTGGACCAGTGTAAAACCATGAATCCTCTCTGCTCTGGTCTGGACCAGTGTAAAACCATGAATCCTCTCTGCTCTGGTCTGGACCAGTGTAAAACCATGAATCCTCTCTGGTCTGGACCAGTGTAAAACCATGAATCCTCTCTGCTCTGGTCTGGACCAGTGTAAAACCATGAATCCTCTCTGCTCTGGTCTGGACCAGTGTAAAACCATGAATCCTCTCTGCTCTGGTCTGGACCAGTGTAAAACCATGAATCCTCTCTGCTCTGGTCTGGACCAGTGTAAAACCATGAATCCTCTCTGCTCTGGTTTGGACCAGTGTAAAACCATGAATCCTCTCTGCTCTGGTCTGGACCAGTGTAAAACCATGAATCCTCTCTGCTCTGGTCTGGACCAGTGTAAAACCATGAATCCTCTCTGCTCTGGTCTGGACCAGTGTAAAACCATGAATCCTCTCTGCTCTGGTTTGGACCAGTGTAAAACCATGAATCCTCTCTGCTCTGGTCTGGACCAGTGTAAAACCATGAATCCTCTCTGCTCTGGTCTGGACCAGTGTAAAACCATGAATCCTCTCTGCTCTGGTCTGGACCAGTGTAAAACCATGAACACTGAACTGCAGCAACATCTCAGGCAGAAAAAATAAAAAAAAACATAAATTGTAAAACACAAAGCAACAGTTTCAGAGACTCTTTGGACTTTCTGCTGTTTCCAGAACCTTCTAAAGTAAAAACAAGTTTTCCAGATATATTCTAAAGTCTGTTGTGGAGGAATCAACAACTTTGGAAAGACCTTCGAGGCGACTGTTGCTGTGACTTAGAGTTGTAGAAAAACAAATAGACTTGAAATTGAAATGTTTTTGCAAATGAACCTTTCTCTCTTGTTTTCTGCGTCAGCTCCATAGACTGTATATATTAATGGACAGAGTCACGCCTATCTCCACCGTTCTAACTAATGGGCCAAAAATGTGCTCTACTGGAGCAATCCAAAATGGCCGCGAGTGGTCCCGCCCACAAGAAAATGGTGAAAAAACGCATCTGCGCATACATCAGCCGGAGCAGCTCCATTTATTTGAACGAGAGACTTAAAATATTCACAGCGACTAAACTAGAGTGGACCAAAACACCCCCTCAGCATTGACACACATGTGGAACGGAGCTTTGGGCCAAGAGACAACTTTTGGATCATCCTGTAAAGACGTTTTCCAGAGGTAAGAAGATGCTATATGTTAGCATTGGCTAATTCTACTTCTGGGTCCACCCCCACAGGCCCGGGGTGGTACTGCAGCATGTCAGCGCACGTCATTTTGGCCACTTTTGAGCTGGGACCCGCCCCCACTGGTCAGCTCAGAGAGGTCAGAGAGGTCACAGAGGTCAGAGAGGTCACTCTTGTTTTTTCCTCTTGTCGTTCTTCTTCTTTTCGTGTTGCACAATTTTCCATCTGCAGCTCTTTTTGTTGCTTCATGTTTGCATTTTTCCTTCCTTCCCTCTTTTCTGGACACTTTGCACAAGCTGCACCATTGGAGCAGTCCCGGTCTCTGCCCCGGTCTCTGTCCCGGTCTCTGCCCCGGTCTCTGCCCCGGTCTCTGCCCCGGTCTCTGTCCCGGTCTCTGCCCCGGTCTCTGCCCCGGTCTCTGCCCCGGTCTCTGCCCCGGTCTCTGTCCCGGTCTCTGCCCCGGTCTCTGCCCCGGTCTCTGCCCCGGTCTCTGCCCCGGTCTCTGCCCCGGTCTCTGCCCCGGTCTCTGCCCCGTTCTCTGCCCCGGTCTCTCCCCAGTCTCTGCCCCGTGGATTTGATTGACAACTCCTCTTGCACACTTTGCAGTGTGGGGAAGTAAGGCTTTGGGGGAGACCTGGGGCTGTTGTGGGTGAGACCTGGGGCTGTTGTGGGGGAGACCTGGGACTGTTGTGGGGGAGACCTGGGACTGTTGTGGGGGAGACCTGAGGCTGTTGTGGGGGAGACCTGAGGCTGTTGTGGGGGAGACCTGGGGCTGTTGTGGGGGAGAAAGGCTTTGGGGGAGACCTGGGACTGTAGTGGGGGAGACCTGGGACTGTTGTGGGGGAGACCTGAGGCTGTTGTGGGTGAGACCTGGGGCTGTTGTGGGGGAGACCTGGGACTGTAGTGGGGGAGACCTGGGACTGTAGTGGGGGAGACCTGGGACTGTAGTGGGGGAGACCTGGGACTGTAGTGGGGGAGACCTGAGGCTGTTGTGGGGGAGACCTGGGACTGTAGTGGGGGAGACCTGGGACTGTAGTGGGGGAGACCTGAGGCTGTTGTGGGGGAGACCTGGGACTGTAGTGGGGGAGACCTGGGACTGTAGTGGGTGAGACCTGGGGCTGTTGTGGGGGAGAAAGGCTTTGGGGGAGACCTGGGACTGTAGTGGGGGAGACCTGGGGCTGTTGTGGGGGAGAAAGGCTTTGGGGGAGACCTGGGACTGTAGTGGGGGAGACCTGGGACTGTAGTGGGGGAGACCTGAGGCTGTAGTGGGGGAGACCTGGGACTGTAGTGGGGGGAGACCTGAGGCTGTTGTGGGGGAGACCTGGGACTGTAGTGGGGGAGACCTGGGACTGTAGTGGGGGAGACCTGGGACTGTAGTGGGGGAGACCTGAGGCTGTAGTGGGGGAGACCTGGGACTGTAGTGGGGGAGACCTGGGACTGTTGTGGGTGAGACCTGGGACTGTAGTGGGGGAGACCTGGGACTGTAGTGGGGGAGACCTGGGACTGTTGTGGGTGAGACCTGGGACTGTAGTGGGGGAGACCTGGGACTGTAGTGGGGGAGACCTGGGACTGTAGTGGGTGAGACCTGGGACTGTAGTGGGGGAGACCTGGGACTGTTGTGGGTGAGACCTGGGACTGTAGTGGGGGAGGCCTGGGACTGTAGTGGGGGAGACCTGAGGCTGTTGTGGGGGAGACCTGGGACTGTAGTGGGGGAGACCTGGGACTGTAGTGGGGGAGACCTGAGGCTGTTGTGGGGGAGACCTGGGACTGTAGTGGGGGAGACCTGGGACTGTAGTGGGTGAGACCTGGGGCTGTTGTGGGGGAGAAAGGCTTTGGGGGAGACCTGGGACTGTAGTGGGGGAGACCCGGGGCTGTTGTGGGGGAGAAAGGCTTTGGGGGAGACCTGGGACTGTAGTGGGGGAGACCTGGGACTGTAGTGGGGGAGACCTGAGGCTGTAGTGGGGGAGACCTGGGACTGTAGTGGGGGAGACCTGAGGCTGTAGTGGGGGAGACCTGGGACTGTAGTGGGTGAGACCTGGGACTGTAGTGGGGGAGACCTGAGGCTGTAGTGGGTGAGACCTGGGACTGTAGTGGGGGAGACCTGAGGCTGTAGTGGGTGAGACCTGGGACTGTAGTGGGGGAGACCTGAGGCTGTTGTGGGGGAGACCTGGGACTGTAGTGGGGGAGACCTGGGACTGTAGTGGGGGAGACCTGGGACTGTAGTGGGGGAGACCTGAGGCTGTAGTGGGTGAGACCTGGGACTGTAGTGGGGGAGACCTGAGGCTGTTGTGGGGGAGACCTGGGACTGTAGTGGGGGAGACCTGGGACTGTAGTGGGGGAGACCTGGGACTGTAGTGGGGGAGACCTGAGGCTGTTGTGGGGGAGACCTGGGACTGTAGTGGGGGAGACCTGAGGCTGTAGTGGGGGAGACCTGGGACTGTAGTGGGGGAGACCTGGGACTGTAGTGGGGGAGACCTGAGGCTGTAGTGGGGGAGACCTGGGACTGTAGTGGGGGAGAAAGGCTTTGGGGGAGACCTACAGACGACATGATGGACTTCTTCTGTGGAAACGTTTATTCGAGTCATAATTCAAATACTAAATGCTTTATATAAATACTGACTTCATTTGCAGACAGCGCCACCTGTGGCAGTCCATAAAACACAAGATATTAAATACAAAATACTGTATAAATGCAGTTAAAAAACATACAAATATACTACATTTTCAACCTTAGTCCTGGCCACAAACTTTAAAGTTGAATAAAAAAAAATAGCTAGTGGTGAACCTAGACGATATCTCATAAATTAGTAAATACAATTGTAAAAGTATTGTATACACTAGACTTTGTATCAAGGATCAGTAAAGTAAATCATTTGCAAGAAAGAGCCCATTGGAGTCGAGATTCAGGGTTCGACATATTGGGCTGATTGTCTGGAACATTTTTACTTCGAAAAGCTGAACTGAAAGGAAAAAACATTTGAAACGGCAAGGCTAGCTTATTTGTATTGCACAGGTCATACACCAGGCAGCTCCAAACGCTTTACTAAACAAGAAGAGAAACACAAGGACATTTATAACCTTCCACAGATAAATAACCACAGTACGATAGTGATTATCTGTGATTAGAGCCGGGACCTGCTGTTATCAGAGATCCATGACTGGGATTCATTTGGATTAAAGTCAACTTGTCTTTTGGTCATTCACGATTTGAAAACAATCTCCCAGAGTTTTAAGAGAATCCTTTCTAAAGTCGTGTTGTTTTGCTGAGATAAGAAACTGGGAAAGATCTCTCTGGCCCTTCTCTTGTACGCGCCCCTCAGCTTTGCCAGCGCTGGGCCGTGCTTAAAGGTCTGCTGTTGACTTAAGAGTTCATGAATGGATGATTGGGGGCTGCAGGGCTTGTGCAGAGCAGTGCCCTGGTAACCACCCGGTTTCCCAGGGGAAGAGAACATAAGGCATAACAGAGCGAGACAGGGGCGGCCGGGTGATCCACTTGAGGCAGAAGTATTCTAAGTGGCAATAAAGCAAGTAGCATGTACTTGACAAGGACCCAGAGAGCAGAGAAGAGAGAGGGAGCGAGCTGTGGAGGAGGGAGTGAGACAAAGGCTGAGCTCACGGGGGCTGTCCTTACGAGGTCTAGAGTGAAGTATCTGTGGAGAGGAGGAGGAGAGAGGAGGAGGAGAGAGGAGGAGGAGAGAGGAGGAGGACTGACCTAAAGCAGCCAGTATGACTTTGTGAGGGCTTCCATTTGGCACTGGATTGATCGAGCTTGTGTTGTGTGTAGTCTGGGAGCATGCAGCACACTTGGAGCCTGCTGGCCTGGCTGTGTGGCCTGGTGCCCGGGCTTCTGGGGGTGTCATGGGGGGCAGATTTCAGGCATCACCGCTACGAGGACATGGTGCGCGCCCTGTTCGCCGTGCAGAGCGAGTGCCCCTACATCACGCGCATCTACAGCATCGGGCGCAGCGTGGAGGGCCGGCATCTCTACGTCCTGGAGTTCACCGACAACCCGGGCGTCCACGAAGCATGTGGGTAACTCAGACTGTTTCACCTCCACTCATGCGTTTGTGTTTTGGCCTGGAACGGACTTTGGCACTAACTGTGATATCTGTGAGTTGTGTGCGGGAAAAAACATTGATTTGAAGTCTGTAGCTGTGATTATTGTCAGATCAATCATGCTGAGTTTAAGACATAAGGTTAAGTAGTTTCTGTCTTCACACAGAATGGACTTGTTTATTTTACCGTTCAGTCACAAAGTGGAAGCCCTAACCTCAGTAATGTGCACAGATAACCACAGGGCCACACTTGTCTCTCCGCTCTCAGCATAACTCATCTGCAGTTACTTGCACAAGGCTTTTCAGGGAATGCTGTTTTGGCCGCGCTTGAATTTGCATTTTTCCTACGTCTGCACACGTAAAGACTTCCTTCAGGAGAATAGAAGGATGTGAGCGTTTCTGTTGCAAAGTGACGGAGTGAAAAACAGGAACTGTGCTCTTCGCCTCCGGTCTGCCCTGTTCCTGAAGAAACTACATATATTACAAATGCTGCTCAGCCCTCGGCCAACTGTGGCTCTGAACCCGACGCCAGTTTGGCCCCTGCTTAAAGAAACAGGACAAGTGCACATAGATTAAGCTTAGGAGATGCTTTATTCGTCCCACAGCGGGGACATTTCAGTGTTGCATCACATTAAACAGAGCAGTAGGAATGAGGAGCACACAGCACAAGATAAATGAACAAAAACTCTATACTAGTTAAAATAAAACTAAATCTCTTACTCTAAATCTCACGACCAGAGCGTTCTACACAGAGAGCAGTGGTTGACTTTATTTATGAAGTTTGTTGGTGTTTTTAATGTGTTTGAGGTTCACTCAGACTCCAGCTGATGGATGAGGAACCCCCAGAGGAGAAACTCAAGACACAACAGGAGGCTGTTTGCTTTAGCAGCTTAACCAATCAGAGACATGGCCACAGGAAGGTTAGAGGAGCCAAAAACTCACCTCCAGAACCACAGCCGCTCCTGAAAACTAGAGGCATTGCTTTTGACTGCACTGGAAACAGCAGCGAGTCCAAAGTGACTCTGAAACAGTTGTTGTTTTGTGTTTTACATTATTATTATTTATTTTCATTGCTTTTTTCTGCCTGAGATGTTGCTGCAGTGGTTCATGGTTTTACACTGGTCCAGACCAGAGCAGAGAGGATTCATGGTCCAAACCAAGTGGATCAGGAGAAAATCCACTGGAGGAATGATAACTTTTTGAAAAATGCTAACAAATCATTTAGAACAGGGGTCTCCCCTGCAGCTCGGGAAAGGATTGAGAAGTGAACAAATATTTCAGATTGTATTATTCATTATCATTATTTGTTATTGTAAATGCACTAACTTTATGCACTAGTTACACATATGCAATGATAAATAAGGAATTTACCCAATATCAGGCTTGTTCACACCAATATATCACAATTTTTTTCCAAAGGCTGCTTTAAGCAGTAGCTCTCTGCCTTTATCGTCCTGGGAGAGTAGCTCTCTGGGTGAAAAAAGTTGGAGACCCCTGATTTAGAATTTCATTTTGGACCAGAGCAGAGAAAATGGTCTGAACCAAGCGGCTCCACCTCTGCTGTGACCTGAACGACTATTATTAATATTATTAGATTTTTAGAATGATCTATTTGTTTGTTTGGATGTGTTTCTGCTGCATTTCTCCAACAGGGATCTATCTATCTATGTATGAATGTGCTCATCACTGGCTCCTCTGACCTCTGACCCCTGACCTGTGACCCCGGTCTCCTCCTTTCCTCAGTGGAGCCAGAGTTTAAGTACGTGGGGAACATGCACGGGAACGAGGTCCTGGGCCGAGAGCTGCTCATCAAACTGGCCCAGTTCCTGTGTGAGGAGTACCAGGCCCGGAACCAGAGGATCACACGCCTCATCTACGACACACGCATCCACATCCTGCCGTCCATGAACCCCGACGGGTACGAGGTGGCAGCGCGACAGGTAACACACAACACACACACACACACAGGTAACACACAACACACACACACACACACAGGTAACACACACACACACACAGGTAACACACACAACACACACACACACACGCATCCACATCCTGCCGTCCATGAACCCCGACGGGTACGAGGTGGCAGCGCGACAGGTAACACACAACACACACACACACACAGGTAACACACAACACACACACACTGCTCCACATGTAACACACACACACACTGCTCCACAGGTAACACACACACACTGCTCCACAGGTAACACACACACACACTGCTCCACAGGTAACACACACACACACTGCTCCACAGGTAACACACACACTGCTCCACAGGTAACACACACACAGCTCCAAAGGTAACACACACACACTGCTCCACAGGTAACACACACACTGCTCCACAGGTAACACACACACACACTGCTCCACAGGTAACACACACACAACTGCTCCACAGGTAACACACACACAGCTCCAAAGGTAACACACACACACTGCTCCACAGGTAACACACACACACTGCTCCACAGGTAACACACACACAGCTCCAAAGGTAACACACACACACTGCTCCACAGGTAAAACACACACACTGCTCTATAAGTAACACACACACACACTTGTTGCGTTCAAAACGTCTGTAGTACGGGTTTAAGTAGTGCGCCCTCCAGTGGACAAACAAGGAACTACATAAGAGCCTATGAACATTCAGCAGTAACGACAGGACTTTTTCGTGTCATTGACCCAAAAGTAACACATTGATGCAGTTTAGTGCTGAGTGAACCTTTGACTAAACGTTAAAGCCTCAGTGATTAGTTTTATATCAGCTCTCTTCATACCTCTGTTTCTCTGGGTTTGAAGCCCACACAAACTGGATTGCGACGCCCTGAAGTTAGATCTGCTTAGACTTTTTTTTGCAAAATAGCTGTCTCCAGTTGTTGCGTTTCTGCCAATGGAAAACATAATTGTAAACTTTCAGAAGCTTCCAGCCATTGATGAACCCAAGATGTCTCCAGTCTAAAGACATAGGTTCAAAGCTCTTACAGCGACTTGACTGTAATGACATTTATCGGTTCTTCAGTTAGAATTATATGGGGCATGAAACGTCCCCTTGGAGAAAACCCCTTTAAAAAGAGCATACATGTGAGCACAATGGGTCTGAGTTAAACCGCATGTCACTCATACGCACGCATGCACGCCACGGTCATGTGTGACATCACAGACAGCCACTGCTAAACCATGCAACTGTAGAGATTTAGCATTTAACCCTAGATCCGTCCGATTGATGGTTAAATAAAAAAAACTAAATCAGTATTTGCAGATGTTTGGGTCGAGCCCGTTAATCCAATCCACTTTATATATATAGCACATTTAAACAACCATCAAGTGTCCAAAGTGCTGCACAAACATGTATGATATACGCGCAAGAAACTTAACCTTAGCTCCATTAAGTATAAAACAATGAAAATACATCAAACAGATTGAAACCATAAATACCATGAATAGAAATAAAAACACAGTAAAACCTTCAATCAATGTTTCAATCATTTCAACGGAACAAGACCAGGAATGTAGTATTTATACATGAATACAGAGATATTTGTTTTACTGTACAGCAGTAGTAGCAGCAGTAGCAGCAGTAGCAGCAGTAGCAGCAGTAGCAGCAGTAGCAGCAGCAGCAGCAGTAGCAGCAGTAGCAGCAGTAGCAGTAGCAGCAGCAGTAGCAGCAGCAGTAGCAGCAGCAGTAGCAGCAGCAGCAGCAGCAGTAGCAGCAGCAGCAGTAGCAGCAGCAGCAGCAGTAGCAGCAGCAGCAGCAGTAGCAGCAGTAGCAGCAGCAGCAGTAGCAGCAGCAGCAGCAGCAGCAGCAGCAGCAGCAGCAGCAGCAGCAGCAGCAGCAGCAGTAGCAGCAGCAGCAGCAGCAGCAGCAGCAGCAGCAGCAGCAGCAGCAGCAGCAGCAGCAGCAGCAGCAGCAGCAGCAGCAGCAGCAGCAGCAGCAGCAGCAGCAGCAGCAGCAGTAGCAGTAGTACACATTACATACAAACATTTTACAATATGAAAGATCTTCATATTTTTATATTTTTGTGCTAAATAATGTGGGACTGAAAGAGGTTTAGACTGAACTTCTTTAACAACAGCAACACGTCCAGAGATGACATGTTACACAGATTTACAGAAATGATAGAAACAAAACTTAATCTTCCATGTTTCAGAGTTATTAATCCTAATCCAGTTCAGTTTATCATCTCTCCATAATGTTTGACTTGTAGGAGATGTGTCTGTGCTGTACTTAATCATCCATCTTTGAATAGTTTATTTGCAAAAACAGATAAGTGGAAACAAATCAGAAAAGCTTATGATTTTCTCTTTAACACGTAGATTTGAGAAACGCCAGAGCTGCATTTGTTTTTACTCATAGTCATTTGTGCCGGTGTTCCCAGGGTCCAGAGCTGAATGGCTACTTGGTCGGTCGTGGGAACGCCAGAGACATTGACCTGAACCGCAACTTTCCCGATCTGAATGCCCTCATGTACTACTACGAGAAGACCAACGGACGAAACCACCACCTGCCTCTGCCCGACAACTGGGAGCAGCAGGTCAGTCCCCCAGGGCTCTGCCTTCGGACCCGACATGTTCACAGAATCCAACTTATACCATGGTCTGTGATGATGCATTATTGTCATACATACGCACATGTAGTTCCGGTACGTTTAAAATCACGCTCTATATCCCTCCGCCACAGCTGTTGCCATAGTAACCGTAGCTGGGTCAAATAAACTGTCAATCAGGTGTCAAGCCGTGGCGACTATAACATGGATTTCGAGATGAATTTTAAGATTTTTGGACACAGTAAAACTATGAGGAATGGGAAAACGAGGAGAACAAAGAAGAAAAACGACAATAGCAGCAACACAACATCGGTAAATGTTCATGTTTTGTCTGCGCGTTAGTAAAAGTAGTTCCCGTTTATCTTGACAACGGTTGCTAAGGCAAACGTTTTGTTGTCAGACTTGTTAAATAATCCGTATCCTTAAACCTATTTGGCCAGTGCAGTAAAGGCAATTAATATAATACATATAATTCCGACAGCGCAGGGACAAGTTCAGAGTCTAGTGGTCACGTGACTGGTTTCTTTTCAGCCATTGTTGGATTTGAGTTTTAAAGGTGACCTGTGTCTACTTTACTTCTACTTGTGAATCTTTGTTTAGTCCGTGCAGAACCCAAACCCTGTCACTGTGTTTGCTTATGTTCCTGCCCAAACTCTATATCAGCTCCTATAAACTGCACTTTAGCTAAATGTTTCTGTATTTTCAAACACCGCTATCGTGTGTGCTTTTTAAAACACTTCTTGTTCGAGCCAAGACTGAAACTTGTCTCTCCTCTGACTCTGTGATGCAGTCCACAAGTCTGCATCTGTAATTATCATATCTCTACACCCGTTTTCTTTGCAAACAACATTTCTGCGAAGTCCACCCGTTATGCATTTGCTCCCAAAATCTCAAAACGTCTCTTTTATTTTCATTTGCAAGTTCAACCGTTGCTAAGACACACTTGGGAATCATTTAAATACAAACTAAAGGCTAAAACATGAAAGAAACACCTACATCTATGTGTATATGAATGCCCTGCTCTTCCCATTCGCTCGGCTGGCCTTCTTCCCGAGCGGCTGCCTCCCCGTCACACAAAAGACTAACTGTGCCACTGTTACAGATCCTTCATTCATGGCTCCGGGATCACATTCACCAAACTACATTTCGCCGTGTCCCGAGGCCACAAACGGGAGCAACATTAATACCATTTAAATGAACTCCACGTTGCAGGTTAATCCAGGGCCACGCACTCATAAAACAGGCTTTACTCACAGCGACGCTAAGACCCCCAGACCATAGGACGTGTTTGTTCAGACCAGGGCGGGCTCAGTTTGAAGCTGGAGAAACGGACTTTGAAACCACAGAAAATAACTATGTCATAAAATCCGTGTAACTCGCTCTGAGCTTTCAAAATGTTTGGTTTTATCGTTATTTTTGTCTTTAGATCAGATTTTTCAGTGATCAAGAGAGGATCAGCCTCACTCAGCCAATCCGCAGTGTCATGGACTGTATACAAACGCACAATGCAAACCCTCTAGCTTAATGAAGCCCAATCGGGAAGTGCTCATGGACGTAGTTTTGCTCCAGCTCGTTCTGGCTCCTTTAACTAGCTCTCTATAATCCTGGTGTTTATATTTTTATATGATTGTTGTACGCTTTATAACAACCGTCTTAGCACCACAGTTACGTCCACAGTTACGTCACACAAAACGCCATCGGAACAAATGCCCATATAAGGAATTAGCTCCAGCTTGCTTATGTTCAAATCAGCTTCTTCCACATTTGGCGAACACTATAGTCAGTATTTATGGTTTACAGGAAGATTTTCTGCCTCCGGATCATCAAGACTATTGGTCCTCCCAACTGTCAATCATTCTGGTGATACGAGCTCGTTCAATAACAACAGAGAGGTTTTATTTTTGAGTTTTGGCATCTATAATTTGATTACAATGTCATAATTCAGAAACGTAAAAAGGCGGAGAGCACCAGAAGACCAGAGACTATTTTCTACTAAGATAAAGACAGAATATTGTGGTTTGATTTGATTTAAAACGTAAAAGTGTTGGGACAAACAAAGGGTCGGTCCTCCAGATGTATCCACTTCATTGTGTAGGAAACGTGTGCTGCAAAAGACCAAAATCGTTTGCTTTTATTGGAGAATAGTTATAAAGGTCCACAGTGTTCTCTCTACGGTTTCATCTCCTGCTTTTACTTTATGATTTTCATTAAAGGGCCCTAATCTGTCATCATTAAAGGACCCTAATCTGTCATCATTAAAGGGCCCTAATCTGTCATCATTAAAGGGCCCTAATCTGTCATCATTAAAGGGCCCTAATCTGTCATCATTAAAGTGCCCTAATCTGTCATCATTAAAGGACCCTAATCTGTCATCATTAAAGTGCCCTAATCTGTCATCATTAAAGGGCCCTAATCTGTCATCATTAAAGGGCCCTAATCTGTCATCATTAAAGGGCCCTAATTTGTCATCATTAAAGGGCTCTAATCTGTCATCATTAAAGGGCCCTAATCTGTCATCATTAAAGGGCCCTAATCTGTCATCATTAAAGGGCCCTAATTTGTCATCATTAAAGGGCCCTAATCTGTCATCATTAAAGGGCCCTAATCTGTCATAATAATAAACTGCTCTTTTCCAATACTTCTTTAACTGATAACAGAAGTTCAGAGATATTTGAATTTCTAAATTACTTTTCCAGCCCCTAAATCTTGTTATTGTTTTCATCTGTCCTCTTCGAGAAGTGAAAATTTTAAACTCAGTCTTGGTTTAAATTCCGTGGATAATGTGAACGTTTTATAACCATGGCTCGACAAATACCTAGTTTCACACACACCGAGGTGGCAGCTGCTGCGTCGAGGCCACTGGACTGAGTTATTCTCTGTTTATTGTCCTACATAACTTAAACATGGACTGGCATTAGCCTCTGTCTGTGTTTATAACATATGGCACTAAGCTAATAAGCACCAACAAGATTGTATAGACTAGAATTTAAGATGCTTGAGATACAGATAAGTGAAACGGCTCTGTCTAAACAGTGTGTGTGGTCTATAACCGCACCTGACACGACAGACACGAAGACACCGCTGATGTTTTAGACCTGAAAAGTTACTCTTCTGTTGTCTTCTGCTTTAATAGAATACAAACACAAAGAGTGGTTTTATTAATGTAGTAAATGTACACATCACCCTGAGCACCTGCAGAGCCCTGGGAGCCCGTCCTGCCAGCACAGAACAACAGATAAATATGTTTTGTATTTGAATAAAGAGTTAGACAATGTATGATCAGATTGGAGATTCTTTATTTGTCCCACAGTGAGGAAATTTCAGTGTTGCAGCGCACATACAGGACAGTAGTAAGAGAGACAGGGAGCTTAAGTAGCTGCTATGTTTGTTAGCTAGCTCTCAATGGTTCAATACTAATACATCAATATATTTCTATCTATATATTAATATCTATAGTGCAAAGTTATGTACATATAGGGCTGGACAAGATCAAGTGATATCGGTTCAGGATGAATTAATAGCTTTCTCTTACATCCTATTTCAGTATTTAATCAGATTTTGTAATGTAGAATATGTGGCAAGTCAGAACTTTTCTTTTAATGCTAATTGGAATTTCTGTCTTCTGTAAACAATGTCTCTACTGGCTCCAAACACCGCTGCTTCAATCCTAGTTTTTAGCAGCACGGTTAGGACTAGCACTTCACAATTCACCTCTAGATGTGGTCTCCCTGTGTCCTCCGGGCGCTCCGGTTTCCCCTCCCATTTCTGTGCTGAGCTTTGGGACGACTCTCCGATCGCTCACTTACTTATAGCTGAAAGAATGTTATGTGTCAATATTGCTTCACTCCTACTTGCATCATTTACTTTGTTGCAAAAATACAAGGTCAATTAACGGCTTTTCCGTTAAGTCCTGTCAGATAAAGCACAACTGTAGTCACAGATTACGCAAGGCAGGGTGGGGGGGGGGGGTGGATCTGGCTGTACGTATAACCAGATGTCCTCAATCTTCTGATGTTTGGCTCCCAGTGTAGCTTTGTGTCTAAGGCGCGTACTTTAAACTGCTGTGATGCTTTCATGCAGAGGTCAAAGAGCGATTTCTGTGTCTCTGAAAAACTAGGTCGAGCCAGAGACGCTGGCGGTGATAAAATGGATGCAAAACTACAACTTTGTCCTGTCAGCGAACTTGCACGGCGGCGCGGTGGTGGCTAACTACCCGTTTGATAAGTCCCGAGACCCCAGGATCCGAGGGAGGACCACATACGCTGCCACGGCCGATGACAAACTCTTTAGGAAGGTCAGAGAGACACATGATGATTCCAGATGTGGCACTTCTGTCTGAGAATATACGTATGACTGTGTATGTCTGATCACAGCTGGCCAAAACCTACTCGTACGCACACAGCTGGATGCACAAGGGCTGGAACTGCGGAGACTACTTCGACGAAGGGATCACCAACGGAGCCAGCTGGTACTCGCTGTCGAAAGGTAAGCAGAGAACGTCACAAAACACATGTTAAAAATGATCTGTTTGGTTATTTATCCCTAAAAGTTTGGGATAAAAACCATAAAACCTAACTGTAATAAAATCTATGTACAGGTCATAGACTGTAAATATTAACGGAGATAGTCACTTCAATCTCCGCTGCTCTAACTAATGTGCCACCACTTTCGTTGTCTATTGGCAGTTTCAAAATGGCCGCAGGGGCTGGAAAAAATGTGAAAAAAAAACGTGTGCATGTGTCCGCTGCACGGGCCCATTCTTTTAACGAGTGCATTCAAAAGTCCGCAGCGACTAAACTAGACTGGTCCAAAAACATACACTCCCTTCAGCATCGACACATGTGGAACGACATGGTTCGAAAAGTGTTTGATGAAGAAAATACTTATTTGATTCCGACACACATCACACACGCCATAGTATAACAACACACACACACACATAGAGTAGGGCAGAGTAAAGTTGGGTCGAGTAGGGTAGAGTAGAGTAGAGTAGAGTAGGGTAGAGTAGAGTTGAGTAGAGTAGAGGAAGGTTGAGTCGAGTAGGGAAGAGTAGGGTAGGGTAGAGTAGGGTAGAGTAGGGTAGAGTAGAGTAGGGTAGAGTAGAGTAGGGTAGAGTAGGGTAGAGTAGAGTAGAGTAATAAAATACTCTTCCACAGGTGGTATAAGTTTCTGTCGCTGTGATCGTTCTCCAGATCTTTGAAATGATTTACATGTAATAAAACATGAAATTGCAGCAAAGACACAACAGTCTGAATACTGTCGTGTTCATGAACCACAGTCTGAATACTGTCGTGTTCATGAACAACAGTCTGAATACTGTCGTGTTCATGAACAACAGTCTGAATACTGTCGTGTTCATGAACAACAGTCTGAATACTGTCGTGTTCATGAACAACAGTCTGAATACTGTCGTGTTCATGAACAACAGTCTGAATACTGTCGTGTTCATGAACAACAGTCTGAAAACTGTTGTGTTCATGAACAACAGTCTGAATACTGTCGTGTTCATGAACAACAGTCTGAATACTGTCGTGTTCATGAACAACAGTCTGAATACTGTCGTGTTCATGAACAACAGTCTGAATACTGTCGTGGGCATGAACAACAGTCTGAATACTGTCGTGTTCATGAACAACAGTCTGAATACTGTCGTGTTCATGAACCACAGTCTGAATACTGTCGTGTTCATGAACAACAGTCTGAATACTGTCGTGTTCATGAACAACAGTCTGAATACTGTCGTGTTCATGAACAACAGTCTGAATACTGTCGTGTTCATGAACAACAGTCTGAATACTGTCGTGTTCATGAACCACAGTCTGAATACTGTCGTGTTCATGAACCACCTCCGACGCCGGCGTTTGTTAAATACTCACAGTCACCTTCATCACCAGCTTCATCAAACATTTTTGGGTTTTATCAATCCAACATGTCGCTCCGTGTCCTCCTCGCTCCCACAGAAACAGAGCTGTCTCGCGCCTCTGCAGGGTTTTTATTGGAGGTCGCTTCAATTTATGGACTTGGACACGTTTAGGCGAAGAGTTACGAGCCCAGTTTGGTTCAGGGCTTTTGTGTTTAAACCCGTATGAAAGGGTTGGAGTATGTATTTTACAAAGACAAGGTTATTCATTTTATTAAGTGAGACATTTGTTTTTTATTGTTATTGTTATTTTTATCTATTAATTCATTTATATGTTTATTACAAAAACCAGAATTAACATTATTTTGTGTATGTGCCTGAAGTTGGCTTTTATCTTAGGATTTTGTGTTAATGGTTTTCTCTACGGCTACGACTGTGAAAAAGATCTGTCTGAACTAAACACTTTCTTACTATTTATTAATATTTATTAATATTTATTACTATTGTTAGTAACTTTTAGAATTATGTATTTATTGATGTTTGTGATGGATGTGTTTCTGCTGCTGGACTCCTGCATTTCTCCATCGATATCTATCTATCTATGTGTCTGTCTGTATCTGTCTGTATCTGTCTGTCTGTCTGTATCTGTCTGTCTGTATCTGTCTGTCTGTATCTGTCTGTCTGTATCTGTCTGTATCTGTCTGTCTGTATCTATCTGTCTGTCTGTCTGTATCTGTCTGTCTGTCTGTATGTATCTATCTATGTGTCTGTCTGTATCTGTCTGTCTGTCTGTATCTGTCTGTCTGTATTTGTCTGTCTGTCTGTATCTGTCTGTCTGTCTGTATCTGTCTGTCTGTATTTGTCTGTCTGTCTGTATCTGTCTGTCTGTCTGTATCTGTCTGTCTGTCTGTATCTGTCTGTCTGTCTGTCTGTATCTGTCTGTCTGTCTGTCTGTCTGTCTGTCTGTCTGTCTGTCTGTCTGTCTGTATCTGTCTGTCTGTATCTGTCTGTCTGTCTGTCTGTCTGCCTGTATCTGTCTGTCTGTATCTGTCTGTCTGTCTGTCTGTCTGTCTGTCTGCCTGCCTGTATCTGTCTGTCTGTATCTGTCTGTTTGCCTGTATCTGTCTGTCTGTATCTGTCTGTCTGTCTGTATCTGTCTGTCTGTCTGCCTGTATCTGTCTGTCTGTATCTGTCTGTCTGTCTGTCTGTCTGTCTGTCTGTATCTGTCTGTCTGTATCTGTCTGTCTGTCTGTATCTGTCTGTTTCTGTATCTGTCTATCTCTGTATCTGTCTGTCTGTCTGTATCTGTCTGTTTGTCTGTATCTGTCTATCTGCCTGTATCTGTCTGTCTGTATCTGTCTGTCTGTCTGTATCTGTCTGTATCTGTCTGTCTGTCTGTATTTGTCTGTCTGTCTGTATCTGTCTGTCTGTATTTGTCTGTCTGTATCTGTCTGTTTGTCTCTGTCTGCCTGTATCTGTCTGTTTGTCAGTATCTGTCTGTCTGTCTGTCTGTATCTGTCTGTCTGTATATATCTGTATATATCTGTCTGTATCTGTCTGTCTGTATCTGTCTGTCTGTATCTGTCTGTCTGTATCTGTCTGTCTTTCTCTGTGTGTATCTATCTACATTATTTTGTGTGTGTTAATGATTTATTGTAACAATGTGTTTGGGTTTAAAAGTGTTTAAAACCGTATGAAATCGTGTAGACGTGCGTTTCATTTGAGTTCATCCAGAACCATGACACATGCCTGATGTTTATGTGCTCTGGGTTTGGCTCCAGCGACTCTCGGGGCCGGGGTTCCAGTCTCATCAAGTCTTTGTGAGTTTGTGTCCCAGATGAAAAGAGCCACAGTCGCGTTTAGTGGGAGCATGTTAAGTTTATTTTGACAACTTCATTTGTCCAAGTCTGATGTCACGGTCTGACGGCGCGGCTTTAACTTTCACTCCCCAAGATGCCCTCATGTCTAACTTTCTGAAAAGTCTTTGATGAAGAAAGTCTCTGTGAGCGGCAAAGACCGAGGGTCTGCTGTAAACGGAGACAGAAGTACGTAAAGAATATACTAAGGATTTAGTTTACTTGGATGAACAGTGTTACCGTAGTAACAGTAGAGTAGGGTATAGGGATATTTGGCCTTTGTGGCTGAGTGGTTAGCATCACAACAACCTTATATTGTCTGGTGTAGAAGAACCCAATACTTTTAAGAAGGTCCTGAGTTCAGACAAACGCATGTTGTTACTATCGTATCTTTCTATGTGTCTATCTACCTTTGTTTGCAAGACACGTTAATAACATCTATCCATAGAAACATTTAAAATGTATTTGTTTTAAAATCCACTAGAAGCTGCATGTTTTTCATTTCAAAGAACACGTTTGTTCTTTTCACAGAAACAGAACTTTGTGGAGATAAAACAGACCATATTTTAACTATTGCAAAAGAAAGAGCCACGTGAGTCACTTCCACAGAGTCATGTTTTCAGAAAGATGTGACGTAATGTTATTTTCTTGTGTGTCTCCTAAAAACAATCCATCCTTAAAAATGACCCATTAGACTTTTTTAAACATGAGCAAATCATGTTAAAAACTGTTAAAACCCCAGTTTGTGTGTTCTCAACATGTCAGTGTAGGTTTCCTCCGGGTACTCCAGTTTATATATGTAATAGTTCTAAATGTAAAGAGTGATGGTTGGAGGATTCTGTTATATCTGAAGTGTAAAGTGCTTTGTGTGACCTTGGGCTGTGAAATGCGCTATATAAATAATTACTTACTTGTTGTGACACTGGGCGTTCCACTGCTTTGGTCCAGCCCCAGAAAAGGGTTTAGATCTCGTCTTAGGCACAACCGATGTGGGCGGGTCCCGGCTCAAAAATATCCATAAGCATGTGCGCTGACATACTTGCAATACTACCCCAGGCCTGGGGGGGTGTACCCGGAAACAGAATTATCCAATGCTTTTGTATGCTTTTGACCAATGGCTCTTGGTCCAAAAGTGGCTCTTGGTCCAAAAGTGGTTCTTGGTCCAAAAGTGGCTCTTGGTCCTCTTGGTTCCAGATGCTGTTGATGTTGAAGGGTGTATATATTTTGGACCAGTCTAGTTTAGCCGCTGTGGACTTTGAATGCGCTCGTTAAATGAATGCGGCTAGTGCAGCTAACACATGCACTAATGCGTTTTGTCACTGTTTCCTGAGGGAGGGGCTGCCGGCGGCCATTTTGAAAAAGCCCCATAGAAGCCAAAAGTGATGTCCGTTTGTTAGTTTCTACGGCGGAGAAAGGCGTGACTACATCTGTTCATATTTACAGCCTCTGGGGACAACAAACTGTAGCTGCCTTTTTAGTGTCAATTTGTCTGAGGTCCACAATGTTTTGAGGAGCCGCTTTTCCAAACATTCAAAACAATCAATAACATCTTTAAATCAACGCTAAACCATAAATATTTTTTCTATTTTTTGACTTGATTAAGGATTCTGTGTCTGTCTGTTGTAGGGATGCAGGACTTCAACTACCTTTACAGTAACTGCTTCGAGATCACTCTGGAGCTGAGCTGTGATAAGTTCCCGGCGGCGTCTGCGTTGCCCAGAGAGTGGCTCGCCAATCGGGAGGCGCTGGTGTCGTACCTGGAGCAGGTCAGGAGCCCCCACAGAGAGGGCGTCTCAATCTGTGGCGCTTGTTCTGAGTTATTGCCCCCACTTCTTTGGTTCTAGTTTTTGAGGCTAGATTTCATGTCAGCATTTGTGGTTCTGTTTGAGACCTGGGATTTTAGTTCAGAGCGAAGTGGAGGATCCGGATTAGACTCAGATTCATAAAAACGTCTGGATGGAAGCCAGCCCATTTCATTTCATTTATTTATTTATTTCCAACCTGCAGGTGTGTACAAGCATGAAAACAAAAAAAGTCCTTTTGGTTTACAGACTATTTTGAGGTGTAATTAAACAATACTAAATAATTTATAATTTTCTTTCATAATGAGGTCCGGTCCCAGCAAAGAAATAGCATCTCCATGGCAGAAAGCGTAGGGCCCCATCCAAGAGGTGGTGTAGAGGCACTTCATGTGACATCACAACCGTTCAAAGACAGTCAAGGGCAGTTAAAAGTCTTTCCTGGTCAGTGTTAAAAGTTACACACATTCTTTGTCAACTACTGTCTAATTAGTTCCTCATTCCGTGTCAAAGTGGTGACAATATTCAAAAACATAAGCAGGAAGTTGGTTTGTAGAAAGGAGCTTCATGCATCAAAACAAAATGGCGACTTTGTGAATTTACTGAGATTCACTGGGACCTCCCACTTCTTTGGAGGCCCATGAGCACCTGGACTGGCAACCGCTTGGTATTTTACGGTCAAAAGAAGAAGAAAATCATGATCGGATGAAGGCATAAAACTGAAACGTCATGAATTAATCTGATTTTTGGACGTCTGAGCTGAGTGCGCAATGCTAACCCTGTTTCCTGAGACTTTCCTGAGTTTAATCATTAACAAATCATGAACTGGGAAAACATTTGAACAACATTTCTTTCAAAGAATTGGTTATTTCTTATAGAGGCGTGTTGGTACCTGCCGTTGGTACCTGCCCTGACACTGAAATAGTAATCCAGAACAAGCCTGTTTGTGTTTGATCAGATGTGTTTGGTCTTATTTGATGACTGATTAATGGCTGTAGTTCCAGGACACTTTGTACCTACACAGGTTAAGTCTTGTGTGAGTGGGGTATAATTGTATGAGTGAGTAGTGAGCTGAGGACAAACAGGAAGTGAGCACAGGGACAGGAGATAATAGCATGTTTTTGATGCCGTGTGCTGTGCCTTATGCTCTCTCCAGGTCCATCATGGAATCAAGGGCATTATCTACGACGAGAACAACAATCCAGTGGGAAAAGCTGAGATCTCTGTGGCTGGAGTGAACCACGACGTGACCAGCGGTGAGGAGCAGGGTGCAGCACTGACCTCTGCTGGTGAAAGATGGGGCTGCGTTCTCCACATCTAACATGTGTTTTCTCAGGAGCGGATGGAGACTACTTCAGGCTCCTGCTGCCGGGAACCTACACAGTGACGGCCTCTGCTGCAGGGTACCTCCCCTCCACCACCACAGTCACAGTCGGCCCCGCGGAAGCCATTTTGGTAAGATAAGATATCCCACAGTGGGACATTGTTTCTTAGCTGTAAATGCTTCAATACCAGTTCCAGTACTCAATAAATAAATATATTGCAGTACATATATATATATACTGTACGTATAGGACAGGATAAATATATAACTTATGTATCATTTCCTTTTGCAGCTAAACTTTTACTTGAAACCAGCACCAAAACAAAGCCTGAAAGTGAAGCCCCACAAGAGGAACCTGTCGTCGCACAAGGCCCCGCTCAAACTGGGCCCCAGATGAGGCCCCAGAGGAGGCCCCAGAGGAGGCCCCAGATGAGGTCTCAGAGGAGGCCCCAGTTGAGGCCCCAGAGGAGGCCCCAGATGAGGCCCCAGTTGAGGCCCCAGAGGAGGCCCCAGATGAGGCCCCAGTTGAGGCCCCAGAGGAGGCCCCAGATGAGGCCCCAGTTGAGGCCCCAGAGGAGGCCCCAGATGAGGCCCCAGTTGAGGCCCCAGAGGAGGCCCGTCACAGACTCTGACTATACCCACATAAGCTTAATGCAGCATCAATGGCAAACCCTGTCTTTTAAATCTCCATAATCAGAATAATGTGTTTGTTTGGTTCTTGTGAATAACTGTTGTATTTATGTAACCGATGTTTGATTCTATTTGTACATGATTCATGTTGATTTCTGTCACTGATGTTACAATTAGGAATTAATAGAAATAAAAAAATGTTTTTCCACTTTTATTTGGTTTGATGTTTGTTTTTGACCATATTCTGTGAGAATTAACCACATTTAAACATGAATACATGAAATCATACTTTACCTCAAAGATTTCAACCTGAGGTTTTTTATCATGTCAGAAAAATAAAATATTGTTCGAAAGTTAATTAACTTCTGTCATTTCTCTTAAAATGTGAAACCGATTTATGAAATAGAACAACATGATGTTTGCCAAGACGTTTCTGTCATGATCCTAATGATCACAGATCACAGTCCATTCTTTAAATATTCTACATTTCAGGGCATTTTATTTGGGTTTTCTAAACTCGACCCTTTGCTCAGTTTGCTCTGTTTTAGTTTCACAAGGAAAGTGAAATGTCTCTACGACCTCACACCGATGTACATCCATTACATGTTAGAGCCATATGAAAGTCAGGAGCACAGGGACTGGCCTCCTGCTGGGACTCTGAGGAGCACAGGGACTGGACTCCTGCTGGGACTGTGAGGAGCACAGGGACTGGCCTCCTGCTGGGACTCTGAGGAGCACAGGGACTGGCCTCCTGCTGGGACTGTGAGGAGCACAGGGACTGTCCTCCTGCTGGGACTCTGAGGAGCACAGGGACTGTCCTGCTGGGACTCTGAGGAGCACAGGGACTGGCCTCCTGCTGGGACTGTGACGAGCACAGGGACTGGACTCCTGCTGGGACTGTGAGGAGCACAGGGACTGGACTCCTGCTGGGACTCTGAGGAGCACAGGGACTGGACTCCTGCTGGGACTCTGAGGAGCACAGGGACTGGACTCCTGCTGGGACTCTGAGGAGCACAGGGACTGGCCTCCTGCTGGGACTCTGAGGAGCACAGGGACTGGCCTCCTGCTGGGACTCTGAGGAGCACAGGGACTGGTCTTCTCTGACAGAGTTAAAATCCTTCCCTGTTTTAAAACACTGATTCTCTATGATTTTAAAGCCTTTCCTAATTTGACTTTTTAAAATGATATCCTAATGTTCTGTGTTTCTCTCGTACAGAACTAAACCTGAGAAACGACTCTTTCCTTTGCACCAACAGCTCCGAGCTCACAGCTCCGTGACAGCTCCGTGACAGCTCACTGCTCACTGTCAGTTCACCTGCTTTACTTGTTCTTGAAAGCATCATTTTAAGGATAATGTTTCCACAGGTTTCATCTGTCACTAAACGCAGTACCCTCTGACAGACAGCAGGGGGCAGCAGAGAAACTCCAGGACCAGACCAGGACCAGACCAGGACCAGACCAGGACCAGACCAGGACCAGACCAGGACCAGACCAGGACCAGACCAGGAGCTGAGAGTTCTTTAGAATAAACATGTTTCATAAAGGTCCAGGTTCTTGAGCTTCTGCAGATCTATTTTGTAAACGGCTTGATCCACATTTGGTTAGAAGAGAATAATATGTTAAAAACTATAATAAATATAATGTTTAAAACTTTCTGACTTAAAGAGGATCCTTCGTGTTCGACCACACAGAGAAGTCCTGGAGCCAGAGCTCAGGAAAAAGGAAAGACGCACTTTGGAAAAATGACAGTGACTCGAGAGACCAACAACAAAGAGCCTCAGGTTAGAACTCACTGGACTCATTTTACTGAAATACAGAAGATAAATATGCAGCATGACAGTTTATAACCATAAAACTAATTTAGTCTTATTTTTAGAATAAAGGGAAGTGATTATGAACTAAAATTTAGGGTTGAGGGTGAGGTTTTCTAAAAGGTCATGCCTCAAATGCAGGAAAATACATCTATCTCTCTATATATCTCTCTATCTCTCTATCTCTCTATCTATCTCTCTATCTATCTCTCTATCTATCTCTATATCTCTCTATCTATCTCTATCTATCTATCTCTCTATCATATTCTTTGCAGTGACGTCCACATATTTACGGTCTCTCTCCTCTTCCGCCCTCTCTCTCTCTCTCTCTCTCTCTCTCTCTCTCTCTCCTCTCCACTGAATCAAAGCTGGGGATTGTTCTTCGCCTCTGAGCCCTTCTCTGGCCACACGACCCACTCTGACTTTGGCCTGCATCACAGACGACAAAAGCTGCAGCTGAAAGAGTGACCAGTGTGTGGTGGACAAAGCTGTGTTTATGCAGCATTTGATCTGGACCTTTCTCACTTATGACACCAGTGGCTTCTGTGCACTTTTGATGTGGCGTCAATGGACCCCCCACGGCCCCCCACGGCCCACTACGGCCCACTACGTCTGACTCATTGAATAAACAGTTTTGGGAAATCGTGTGCGTTGAACAGAGATAGACTTTCAGATAGTAAAGTTTTTCTCAGTGTCTTTGGTGCAGTTCTCAGTCCAACCTCCACAAAACTGAGTCATGTGTGACATCATGTGTGACATCATGTGTGACATCATGTGTGACATCATGTGTGACATCATGTGTGACATCATGTGTGACATCATGTGTGACATCATGTGTGACATCATGTGTGACATCATGTGTGACATCATGTGTGACATCATGTGTGACATCATGTGTGACATCATGTGTGACATCATGTGTGACATCATGTGTGACATCATGTGTGACATCATGTGTGACATCATGTGTGACATCATGTGTGACATCATGTGTGACATCATGTGTGACATCATCGCAGCAGTTTCTCCTTTTCCCCAAATTACAAATGCTTTTGTTCATGTGTCAGTTACTTTCATACAGTTCTGCTGTTTTTTAACATTATCCTTCGCTTCTGTCGTGTCAGAGTGAAACAGACTTATGAAGCTGAACAGTCTTTCTCTATAAAACCAATAGTCCTCATTTCATCGTTTTGGTCACAAACAAAACTGTTGAACTAGATCAAAATCTAAATCTGTCAAACTAATTTCATTCATTCATTTTTTTCCCTGTAAATCTTTCCTAAATGGAACAATGTCTCTGAGTTTCAGCTTCACTCATGACGAGGTGTGAGTTTATTGTTTACATTTGTCACAGTTTTACCATCATCATATTCTGTATGTTTGTTCTATGTATATACATGTATATACATGTATATACATGTATATACATGTATATACATACATGAATATATCATATATATACATGTATATATATATATATACATGTATATATATATATATAATAATATATATTCATGTATATGAAAAGTGAATTCCTTCTGAGGAATTCACTTTTCATTTTGAGAACGTGACTTTTGCAGGTTTTCCACGAGGTTTTGCAGTTTGCACTAATTGTTCTGATAAATGCACCAAAAACACTGAGAAAAACTGTAAATAAAGAACTACATTTACTTTTAAAATCACAATATAATGAACTAATATCGTGGCACAGGATTGATAAATAGTATCAATGAAAGTAACAAACAGTTGTGTTATTATTGTTAGCTGCTTTTAGAATGTTTCGTTTGGATGGATGTGTTTCTGCTGCTTTACAGAGATCTATAAAGTATCTACAATAAACAATAATAAAACCAGAAACAAGGATTTATAATATATTTCATGTTTACTCTTTAGTTTATTATCCGTGCAAACGTTCATACTACTGTTATGTTTAGTCAGTTATCTGAAGTTAACTCTCTCTTTAATCATTTATTCTACATTTATTCTATTCCAGTGTTTTCCAACCTGTGGGCCGGGGCACGTTAGTTTGCCATGGCATGTTTTTGGTGTGACTAATTAGCCAAGAATCACTAATTGGTCCAAAATAATGAAGATTAGAAAACTTGTTATCTTTGATTTTCTCAATAATTTACTGTCGATGAAGACGGCTCAGAAATAAAGTTGTTTTGCTTTTGTTGCAAATGTTCCGACGTAAACGTTTGTCCTCGTCCAAAAGTGTCCGACGGTTTCCTGTCATTGTTCTTCAGAGTTCACGTTTAGGAAACTGTCAGTACTGCCAACGCTGCAGCTTCTCCACAGACACACACACTGACACACACAGACACACACACTGACACACACAGAGACACACACTGACACACACAGAGACACACACACACACACTGACACACACACACAGACACACACACAGACACACAGACACACACACTGACACACAGACACACACACTGACACACACACACACACTGACACACACACACACACAGAGACACACACTGACACACACAGACACACACACAGAGACACACACACACAGACACACAGACACACACACAGAGACACAGACACACACACAGAGACACAGACACACAGACACACACACACACACAGACACAGACACACACACACAGACACACACACACAGACACACACACTGACACACAGACACACACACTGACACACACACACACACACTGACACACAGACACACACACACACTGACACAGACACACACAGACACACACAGACACACACTGACACAGACACTGACACACACAGAGACACACAGACACACACACTGACACACACACACAGAGACACACACAGAGACACAGACACACACACTGACACAGACACACACAGACACACACACAGACACACACACTGACACACACACACACACATACAGACACACACACACACACACACAGACACACACACACACACTGACACACACACACACACACACACTGACACACAACGAGACACACACAGAGACACAGACACACACACTGACACAGACACACACAGACACACACAGATACACACAGACACACACACACACACACACACACACACAGACACACACACACACACAGACACACACACAGACACTCACAGACACACACACACACACAGTGACACACAGACTCACACTGACACACACACAGACACACACACACACACACACAGACACACACACACACACACACAGACACACACAGACAGACTCTCCTCTGCAGTAAACCTGTCATTACTCACACAATAACTGTCATTCTCTCTGTTTAAAAAGGTGTTCTTTGACTTAATTGTTGTAAATGACGAGGTACAAACATGTTTTGAATGAGGAGAAAGCCACAGCTCCTCCAGAGCCACAGCTGTAAACACAGCTTCAAAAACCTCCTCCAGAGCCACAGCTGTAAACACAGCTTCAAAAACCTCCTCCAGAGCCACAGCTGTAAACACAGCTTCAAAAACCTCCTCCAGAGCCACAGCTGTAAACACAGCTTCAAAAACCTCCTCCAGAGCCACAGCTGTAAACACAGCTTCAAAAACCTCCTCCAGAGCCACAGCTGTAAACACAGCTTCAAAAACCTCCTCCAGACTCACGTTTAAGATCTGTGGAAAGGTCGGACATTAAACTTCTTTTGTTTGAGTTTTTTAGCGACAATAACATAACACAGGTATATAACACATCACAACACAACATAACATTGGAGTTTGCATGTTCTCCCTGTGTCTGCATAGGTTTCCTCCGGGTGCTCCGGTTTCCTCCGGGTGCTCTGGTTTCCTCCGGGTGCTCTGGTTTCCTCCGGGTGCTCCGGTGCTCCGGTTTCCCGTAACACTAAAAACATGTACAATAGGTCTGTGCCTCCTGTACTGGCCCCTCCCATCTCTGTGTGGAGTCAGACTAATGCCCACAACTGTAAACCGCTTTGACTCTGGTCTGAGAAAGGCTCTATTTAAATAAACATTACTTACTTACTTACTTACTTACTAATAACATAACATAACACATTGGGAGAGGGTTGTGCATGTTTCGTGAGAGGGTTGTGCATGTTTTGGGAGAGGGTTGTGCATGTTTCGTGAGCGTGGAGTGGACAGTTAAACAAGTGCTGACCTGTTACAAACTACTGTTGGAATCAGGAAATGTGTGTTTGTATAAATGCAACGCTTCTGTTTTCAGACAATATTTGGAAATGGAAGTACAGAAGCTCGAGCTTGTCATAGGCTACAGATGTAGTTAGAACAGATTAAGTTTGTCTTTCCGGACTGTAGGACTGATAAAGTATCTCTCAGTCTTAATCTTATCCAAATTAATGCTACAATAAGAAAATGTGTAGAAGTATCGGTGCAACATTCCTCTCTCCCTTTCGAACAGGTCTTTCCACTCTGTGTTCAACATTGTATTAGGATTATCTTAATTTAGATAAAATATATCTAATACCCAATAAAATATAATAAAAAAGCGGTCTTTTTGTGATTACTAGAATTTTCCACATTAGGCTATAGCTTTATCCCAAGTGAAATCACAAACTAGATCTGCAGAGAGGCAAGTCTGTTCACTATGTATGATGAATCTATATACACTGTATCTGTAATAAAAAAATAAAAAAAACCTGTATTTATAGTGAAATACATTCTGGGTACATTCCACATTCCAGTTACCACATCCTAGATCCTAAACAAAGAATATCTCCTCCTTCCTTGCTCTTTTTTCTCCTTTACACTGACCTTGGTGGAATTCAAAAAGTCTTTGAAAGGTCGTAAATTTCAAAGCCAGCCCTGTTTCGCAAAAGGTCAGTTGGAAGGATACTGCAGAATCATAAACAAAACATAAACGAGGGTCATTTATTATTTGGACGCATCCAACATCACCATGGTAACAAGCAGGTAACGGACACCACCAAAAAATTCGTGTTTTGGGTGTGATTTTGATTAACATTTACAAAACTGCACGACCAATGTGTCTCAAAAAATGTCTGAATTAACTTAAACATATTTTACGCCCTATTATTTCAACTTTTGTGGTATTTTAGACAGGCATGACGCGGGGCAGCTATGGTCGTGTGGAAAAAGTGGGTGGCGCGTGCGTGTCGGTGGCATGGAGCTCGCGCAGAGACTTCAGCAGTGTCTCCCGTGATGACAGCTGCCCGACAAGCCACCGGAGCCACCGAACCCACCGGAGCCTGCCCCAGCCCCAGCCCCAGCCCCAGCCCCAGCCCCAGCCCCGGCCCATCCACGCCGCACGGACTTCTTTGACTTCCGCTGCATTTTTACGGATCTGTGGAGGATCGGTCTCTCCCAAGTCTTAAGGCTCAAAAACTCCGACGCGACCACATCAACACCAAGCTCCAAAAGTTGGATACAGCTGTTTCCAAGTGGATTTGAACCATTTTCCCGTTTGGACATGGTCTGCAGGTATGACACGCTAATGTTAAAGAGTGGAAGGATGGCTTTATTTAGTAAGTAAGTACGTTTTTTAGTAAGTTTTTTATTTATATACCGCCTTTTCACTGCAGATCTGAGTCTCAAAGCGGTTTACAATTGTTATATTTTTGGGCACTTGTCTCTCACTCCACACAGAGATGGGAGCGGGGCCAGTACAGGAGGCACATGCCAGAACTATTGGACATATTTTTAGTGGTAGGGGAAACCGGAGCACCCGGAGGAAACCTACGCAGACACGGGGAGAACATGCAAACTCCACTCAGAAAGGCCCTGGTCCGACCGAGATTCGAACCCAGGACCTTCTTGCTGAGAGTGCTATCCACTCAGCCACGGTGCCGTTGTCCAGTATTTCTGACCCGTAGTCCAGAATAAACACTAGACAAGATACAACACTCTAGACACATACAACATAAAACACTAAAAGTCCACAAAGCTCTTTAGAGGAGGCAATCATACACCAGTGTTTCCACTAAAATAATAATGTATTGGTTTTATAAAGTGCTTTTCAGGACGCTCAAAGTCTCAGTTCACATGTCATTATTCTTTCACTTCACTCTATACACGGTGGTGATAAACTACTACTGTAGCCACAGCTGCCCTGGGGCACACTGACAGAAGCGAGGCAACCAATGTGCCATCGGCCCCTCCCACCACCACCATTTACACCAGACTCATTCAAATGTGGGTGAAGTGTCTTGCCTAAGGACACAACCACAGTTTGGCTCTTTACTGCCGCCCCACTATGGCACCTTATGTTCCCAGAGGTCTCCCATCACAGCACTAACCAGGCCCTGCTTAGCTTCAGAGGTCTGACAGAATCTGGCTTTCATATGCAAGTAATAGCCATTGTTGTTCTCGCAATGATCACGTTATTACTCATTCACTGACAAGGAGGTGGAAATACTTTTACTTTTCTCCCACAACACTCTTAGCACTATTAGGCTTTGACTTTATTTGATATGTTGTTATATGTTAATTATTTATCTATCTATCTATCTACCCCTGTCTCTACCTGTCTCTTTATCCTTATATACAAGACACTATAATAAAATCTATATCTAATTTGACTCATAATCACCAGTCTTTGCAGTGATGTCGACATATTAACAATCTTTCCGCTCTTCTTTCCTGTGAAATAACATGGAGCCTGTAAAGATCACCATAACATCTATGACTGTATGTTGCCGTGGTGATGTGTTGTGCTGTTTTTGTGGCAAACAATGGGTAGAAAGAGCTTCAGGATGGATCCAGGACCCGCAGCGCTCACTGGGGCTGACTACTATAGACCTGACGAGGGACTGGGACTGATGGGACTGAGGCCTTGGACCGTAGACCAAATACTGCCTCAGTGTCTGACACCTGTGGTCTCGCTGAACCACAACACTGTCCTCACTAATCAGCCACTGTCCTTGTTCTGTTTTATTTCCTTCAATTATCAAACCACACAAAGCTTCGACCTTGTGAATTTGATCTTGGGCTAAAGGATCATGGAATTTGGTCGTTGGAATAAGTCTTGGATATGTGTTGAACTTGAATCTAGACTTTTATTGCTGAGTCATGTCAAAATATTGTCTAATTATTACTATTCCAAAATGATAATGTATAGGTTTTGGTATCCAACAGCTTGTTTATAATAAAAATCTGCTCTTCTATATTGTTTTTATAGTAATTACTGTTTTGTAGTTTCAGATTGCATGGATGGATTTGATTGACAGTGGTGTGCATAAATACTAAATACTGAAAGAGTTCGAACTTTTGCACACTCATTTTTGTACAATTATGACCACAATCATTTTATTTAGTATGTTGGTCCAAGCAGCATACCAGATATGTCCGAGGTCCTGAGGAAGTTGAGAAGTTTAAAGCTACGTTAAGTTTAGCAAAGATTTCCCAATATTTCAACAAAAGTTAGTAGCCACGACTGCAAACTTACCAAGACACGGCCGTCCGCCTAAACTGAAATCTGAACAAGCTCTGCATGAGCTGGAAACTTCGGAAATCTCTACATGGGTAAAAAATTAGTCCTGGATGATTGGAAAGAAGTTGTCATTTGTAGTTTGTCTGAAGGAATATGGGGAACACAACTAACATGTGGTAGAAGGTTCTTTGGTCAGATCATTTTGGAGCCTTGTGCATTATCCCCAGTCTCAAATATGGGGCTGCTTTTCTTCAAAAGGACGTGGAAGATTGTAAACACTGATGGGAAGATGGATCGAGCCAAATACATTTTTAGGGGAATAGTGTCAGCGCAACAATGGAGTGGTTTTAAAAAGCGTTGTGTATGTTTTGTATATTATAAGATATTATTATTATTATTATTATTATTATTATTATTATTAGACCTAAATTCAAGACCAGAAAACTGCTGTTCACAAGCGCCCTCCTCTGACAGAGCTTGTTTTGTAAAGATGAATGGGCAAAACCTTCAGTCTCCAGATGTGCAAAGCTTGGAATATGTGAATTCTTAATCTGACATCACCATGGTAACAAGCAGGTAACAGACACCACCAGAGAAGTCGTGTTTTGGGTATGATTTTGATTAACATTCACAAAACTATGCGACCAATGTGTCTCAAAAAATTTCTGAATTAACTGAAACATATTTTACGCACTATTATTTAACTGCGAGATTTGTTTTTTATAACTTCTGTGGTATTTTAGACAGGCATGACTCGGGGCAGCTATACTGACGCAGAATACTTAAGCAGGCCTTTTATTCATTCATGTTTTATTATGGTTTGCTTTCACTTCTCACAGTTGTTTCTTACTTTGTTATGGTCTTTCACAAATACTACTACTACTACTAAGGTACTAGTAGTTTGAGTCGTATTTGTACTTTTACCGCCGTGTGTAGGAGTCACACTTACGGCCAGTCACATGCTCTTGTTTAGGGCTAATGTTGTTATGCATTCGTAGCTACTCCCCGTCCGGCCCACACCTTTCCCCTGAATAATGTAGACCTCGGTGTCTCGTGGCTGCACTTTAGAGAAACTTGAGGCAATTCTATCGGTTTACAATCGAGTCGTGAGCGTTGCACCTTTCTCTGTGTTTGCCTCTCGTAAACAGAGGCTAAAGTACTGGACAGAAGGAAAACAATCACACAAACTACACCTTCAGAAGTAGAGCTGATTTTATTCGTTTGCAAATGTTTAAATTGACTGATTTAGTGTTTGTATGAAGTGGACTATTTGTTTACAAACCCTGAAGACTTTATTTCAATATAACTACGAGTATTTCAGATGTAAACATTGGTTTGTCATAAATATTGCATGTTCTCTCAATTGTACACTTTATTACAGGTTCTTCAGGGTTGAGAAAGTTATATATGATACAGACTAACTACTTAAATACTTACTAAATACCAAAAACTTGTCAACAACTATACTAATTATCTGTGACAGCATATTTTACCAATATAACAATATCCAATATCTTCATCAGTTCACACTTTTTACATAAATACATACAGCACAACGAGACACATTTTATTTTATTTTTTCCCACTATGCTCCCCTTGTAAAAGTTATTCTTCACGTATAATAGGTAAGGCAAGGCAAGGCAAGTTTATTTGTATAGCACAATTCATACACAAGGCAATTCAAAGTGCTGAACAAAACAAGAAAGCATTAAAATCATAAATAATCACAGAACATTAAAAAGAAAGATAAAAATATAAAATCCCTCAGTTGTAGCACAGCTAAACAGAACCGTCTTTAACCTGGTTTTAAACATTGTCAGAGAGGAGGCCTGTCTCACATCTTCAGGAAGACTGTTCCAGATTTTAGCAGCATGAATCTGAAAAGCAGCCTCCCCATGTTTAGTTCTGACTCTGGGCACTAACAGGAGTCCAGTCCCTGTGCTCCTCAGAGTCCCAGCAGGAGTCCAGTCCCTGTGCTCCTCAGAGTCCCAGCAGGAGTCCAGTCCCTGTGCTCCTCAGAGTCCCAGCAGGAGTCCAGTCCCTGTGCTCCTCAGAGTCCCAGCAGGAGGCCAGTCCCTGTGCTCCTCAGAGTCCCAGCAGGAGTCCAGTCCCTGTGCTCCTCAGAGTCCCAGCAGGAGTCCAGTCCCTGTGCTCCTCAGAGTCCCAGCAGGAGGCCAGTCCCTGTGCTCCTCAGAGTCCCAGCAGGAGTCCAGTCCCTGTGCTCCTCGGAGTCCCAGCAGGAGTCCAGTCCCTGTGCTCCTCAGAGTCCCAGCAGGAGTCCAGTCCCTGTGCTCCTCAGGTAGATAAAGTAAAGTGACTGGATTATTCTTCATTGTACTTATTATCCTGCCTTTTATGGACAGTATATAAAGTTCTCTGCACGATAGAACACAGCAGTTACTTATTTTATATATTTGTTTGCTGTCCTGTCTGTGCGCTGCAACATTGACATTTCCCCACTGTGGGACTAAAGGATTTCTAATCTTATGTTACCTTCATATTTTCATAAGACCATTTGATTACATGTTGATTTTCCTCTGGTGCAAGTTCCTCAGAGCAGTGACAACATGTGATTAAACATCATATAAGACTAGCCCACGCTGCAGTAACGTCCTGGTCCTTTCCTTTCATTCCAGTCTTGCAGAAACACGTAACGGTGAAACTTTCAAGACACATTCCTCTAGTTTAACATCGATTTTCCCTCGAACATGTCATGATCTGAATCCGAGGGTGGGATGCGTTACGTAAGAGCTCACGTGCAAACTATTAGCCGTGTCTTTTGGGTGCGGCAGCTCTCCGGACAGCTCCTTCTGGGGTCCTGACTCCCTCTCTCCTGGACCCAAACAGATCCCTCGTTGCCAGGACAACCCCAGCCCGTCCCGAGTGAGCTCCGGCATGTACGCTGTGGAAATGTTTATGCAAAAGAAGACGAAACACCCAGTTTGTGAGCGCGGAGGGCGGACGATTAACATGCAAGGCTTTGGAGCTGGATTCCAAAGAGAGGGAATAGATTCAAGATGTGTTTTGGAATAGTAATGCTGCTAGAGACAAAAGTTGGGATGGATTGAGTGGACGTTTCCAGAGCTTTCCCTGTATCCACCCTGGACTCACTTAGAGAAAATCTGTCCATGTTCATTTAGTCTGATGTGTATATTTAGAGTTTGCTGGAAGTATTTATTCAAACTTTAACTCTTTGCTGGTCCCTCACACGCTCTACGACACATATATGGTTTTATCTCTATATTTGATAGTATTAAAGAGCTGTAGATTGTAGAGAGATTTTTCCAAGTGCAGCGATGTGGAAGATATTTGGAATTTTTGGCTCAGCTCATCATCTGGGAACACGACATTACACATGACTGTTTGCAATCGGATAAAGTCATGTGATCTTGAAACTAAATTCTGAATTATAATCTTTGTTAAAACTAGTTTGAGCTCAGTTCTTGCATAATATTGTGATGATACTGTGGGCTTTTAAGACATTTGTATTTACTATTTATTTGGGCTGATTCTGTAGATCGTACACAAGGAAAACAAGATCACATTAAGAGAAGGAGAGTAAGATCACATTACATAGCAGCTAAAAATAACTGTTTTTAACCTGGATTTGAACATAGTCTGAGAAGAAGCCTGTCTCACATTTTCAGGAAGACTGTTTCAGATTTTAGCAACATGAATCTGAAATGCTGCCTCCACACTCAGGGCACTATCGACTGTAATCCACTTTTCATACTGCGATAAAGTGAAAAATGTATCATGCTAAAAACCCATCCAACCACTCAGTTTCTTCTGCTTCATCCGTGGCCGGGTCGCGGGGGCAGCAGTCCTCCAGAGACTTCTCTATCTTCTCCATCCACACACACTTCCTCCCTGGGGATGCTAAGAACCATTTGAACCAATACCTTAAAGATTTGTGTCGTATACATATATGGGATAGGGTGGGATTAAATACATCTCTACTTCTTCCCACTCCCTTTCGTACATGAAACAAGACATAACAGACCTAACAGACAATTATGCATGATTTTAGTGGTAGGGGAAACTGGAGCACCCGGAGGAAACCTGCTCAAACATGCATAATTATTACTATTATTCTATTAATTCTGCGTTCAACTGAAAATTGTTACTTAATTATTTCTGTGCTTTTGTTATGTACATATGCAATTGTCTTTGAGTGTTTTGGTTATGTTTTGGCACTTGTCAAGTACGAAATGAAATGAAAAATTAAATTGGAGGTTGTTAGCATACCGCTTCCTTTCCACTTGTGTTACTTTGTTGTATGCGTCTAACAACCCATTTTTGTGCCACTGGTTTGTTATTATTGCCCTGTCATGAAGCCGCAGTGGGAGGGGTCTGAGGCTGAGTACACACATGCTCCCAAACCACATGACTTATGTTGACAACCGCTACACAAACCTCCCACTCTGATTGGCCGCTCGCCCCATCGTCTGTGACACGTGCAAAGCGCTGCAGACGTCCCCCTGTCGTTTTAATGTCTAGAAAGCTCCACCGCCTGTTTGTGTAGGCTTTTTGTGCACGAGGCATTTTACACTGACGACTTTCTCTGTTGGAAATGTAAACAATTAAGAGGTTCTGTCCAGTCCACTCCAGAGGCTTCTGTCTGTGTCTGTGGTTACCATAGTTACCTCCATGTGTCTGAATGGAGAGCCCTGTGATGGAGATATTAGATTGGAAATAAACACAAAGACAAAAGTCAGAATGAGGGAAGTTCTTATATTTTGAAATAGTACTGTATATTTCTGATTTTAAGTCACAGTTGTTGTCATAGTTTGACCGAGGGTGCGACTTATCTGTGAAATTATTACATTTTATATTTTGAAATTGATGTTTTATTTACCGTAAAATGTCAATTAGTAGTATTCTGTTGAGCGATGAAGCTATTAAGAAGAGAGAGATGTGTGTCATTTGATTTTTCCAGTACTATTTGTATTAGCAAATGTATTTTGGTCGTCTAAACCCACAGGTTGTATAAAAATGCGACTTACATTTGTTTTTTCCCTTCTTTGTTATGCGGCTGTTGCGACTTAATCCGAATTATACGGGTTGTGATAAAGTAAGCATTTATCCACCGTTTATCGATATTTGTCTGACATCAGAGAGGTTAGAATACTGGATTTCAAAAAGTGGAAAATGTGGAGAGCACACATGGTATTGGACCATAGGGAGAGACCACATGGTATTGGTCCGTAAGGAGAGACCACATGGTGTTGGTCCATAGGGAGAGACCACATGGTGTTGGTCCATAGGGAGAGACCACATGGTGTTGGTCCATAGGGAGAGACCACATGGTGTTGGACCATAGGGAGAGACCACATGGTGTTGGTCCATAGGGAGAGACCACATGGTGTTGGACCATAGGGAGAGACCACATGGTATTGGTCCATAGGGAGAGACCACATGGTATTGGTCCATAGGGAGAGACCACATGGTATTGGTCCATAGGGAGAGACCACATGGTATTGGGCCATAGGGAGAGACCACATGGTATTGGTCCATAGGGAGAGACCACATGGTGTTGGTCCATAGGGAGAGACCACATGGTATTGGTCCATAGGGAGAGACCACATGGTATTGGACCATAGGGAGAGACCACATGGTATTGGACCATATTCATCATCAGTCCTTCTTGTTGGGCCACATTAGGTCCAGACGGTGAGTGCTCTTTTCTCTGCTGCGTCGACACTTCTGTGTGAGCTGTTGATTTATCTGTCGCTGTAATCCTGTTACTTTGAGGTCAGAGCCAAGTGCCTCACGCCACGTCCAGCCTGCGGGCTCCGACCTCAGAGCCTTCTAAACAGAACAATTCTTTGCTTGTAATGTAGATAGAAATGTACACTGCTGCAATGGGAAGTGATGGAAATGATACTGACCTTATCTTCTCACTGTCATCAGAAAATACAATTACAGACTTAGAATTGTATTGGTGGCTGAGTGGTTAGCACTCTGTGTCATGGGTTCGAGTCCCGGTCGGAACAGGGCCTTTCTGAGTGGAGTTTGCATGTGTGTGTTCTCCCCATGTCTGTGTTGGTTTCCTCCGGGTGCTCCGGTTTCCTCTACCACTAAAAACATGCACAAGAGGTCTGAATGTAATGAGTGAATGAATGCATGGTGTTTGGTCGGAGGCTTTGATGGACCGGTGTGTTCGGCTTCTGTCATCACAGTGTGTGGAGTGGAATTGGAACAAACTTAATATTGTAATGTTTATTTATATACCGCCTTTCACAGACCAGAGTCACAAAGCTTTATATAAATAAACATTACTTACTTACTGAATACAGTAGTTGTCCATCAAACTACGACATTACCCATCATTTTAGAATAAGACAAAATACTATATACTGCAAATATCTGGTCTTAGCCTGGCACTGGTCCAGCCGGGGCCGACACTCACCGATGGAACCATAAATAACATAAGAAGCTTCTCTGTTTGCGGTGAAGATTAAGTCCTGAGGAAACTCAGTCCTTTTATCCCTTTAAAGGAGCAAACTGGTACTGCAGCCTCTCCCACTCTCCCTGACTCAGGTTGCCAGATATGCAGACGAATCCAGCTGGGACCATAACAGCTGAATAGACAAGAGTTTTGTCAACAACAAATCTATAACCAACACCTTTTTCACATTTTTTTGTCGTTAATGATTTGAGAATCATAACGAGACCTTTTTTAGTTCTGCGCCACCTGGTAGCGGTGAGTTCTGGCGCCCGGATCACAGACTTTCTGATTGGTGAAACGGTGGAGGGCGGGACATCGAAATGAAAACAATAACAAGATTTAGGGGCTGGAAAAGTAATTTAGAAATTCATATATCTCTGAACTACTGTTATCAGTTAAACAAGGGTTGAATCCCGGTCGGAACAGGGCCTCTCTGAGTGGAGTTTACATGTTCTCCGTGTGTCTGTGTAGGTTTCCTCTGGGTGCTCCGGTTTCCCCTACCACTAAAAATATGTACAATAGTTCAGGGAGAATGAGAGGTGTGTTCATTTACCTCTATAACTCTCAATCCTTCAAGACAACCATATATATTTTTATTTTTTTTGATTTTCTAAGATGTAAAAGCACAAATAACAAGTTAGAATGTGTTTTTTTGAATGACAGGCCTGTCCGAAACCAAGTGAGATGCCCCAAAATAGGTGGATTTCAGTCCCAAGCTTCAAGTTGCTTTTATGACTTAAAAGGTGAGAAAACCATTAAAGAGACATTAATTAATTATTTTTATCTGTCTGGTGACTTCTACATCGCTGGTTGTTCTCCCTGTCGTTGAGACACATTAGCTTCAGTAAAGATGGAGTCATGTGGAAATGCTTCTCTCGGTTCTCGTCGTGTCTCGATCTGGAATAAAAAGTCCAGCTGTGGAACGGAATCTGGTCTCAGTGAAAATGAATGGACTTCCTGTTTGTGCCGCGGTTCTGTTTGTCCTCTTCTCACTGCTCGGTCTGGGATTATTCACCAAACTCCACACAAGATCCAACCCTTCGCTGTCCTTAGCTGTAATTTAGTATTTCCTTGACTTAATATCAAATACAAACAAGGAGCCGAGAACCATTAGGACTCATTGTAAATATGTAGAAGTGTATTATTATTATTATTACAAAGTGTACGTTGCATAAAGATATACAATACATTTTAATAAGGTACAAGCACAAAACCAAAGAAAACCAGATACAAAAAAATACATGTTGTTTAATAGAATAGTTGTTCAATGATTTCAAACAGAAAGAGGAACTGAAAAAGTCAGTTTTAAGAACGATCATATAGCATTTTTTTTTTTAGGAAGGAAGGAACAAAAGGAAATGAATTCACAGCACATTTACAGCACGTGCAGTTCAATCATGCATTAGTTTAAATCTAGTCTATTTAAGTTTTCATGTCAAGTCAATCATCATCAATCATTAAAGGGCCCTAATCTGTCATCATTAAAGGGCCCTAATCTGTCATCATTAAAGGGCCCTAATCTGTCATCATTAAAGGGCCCTAGTCTGTCATCATTAAAGGGCCCTAGTCTGTCATCATTAAAGGGCCCTAGTCTGTCATCATTAAAGGGCCCTAATCTGTCATCATTAAAGGGCCCTAATCTGTCATCATTAAAGGGCCCTAATCTGTCATCATTAAAGGGCCCTAATCTGTCATCATTAAAGGGCCCTAATCTGTCATCATTAAAGGGCCCTAGTCTGTCATCATTAAAGGGCCCTAGTCTGTCATCATTAAAGGGCCCTAGTCTGTCATCATTAAAGGGCCCTAGTCTGTCATCATTAAAGGGCCCTAGTCTGTCATCATTAAAGGGCCCTAATCTGTCATCATTAAAGGGCCCTAGTCTGTCATCATTAAAGGGCCCTAATCTGTCATCATTAAAGACCTTATGCCGGGTTTGATTTATTTAGAAATGCAGTTTTAATACCATTTTATATTAGAAGAGAACTACTAAAGGTTTCAAAATCAATTGTTCTTTTTTTTGTCTGATCCCCCCAAATTGAAATAACCCCATAGCAACGCCCTTAGAGACGAAAAAACTTCACAGCCCTTGGTGACGTCAGAGCGGGTACGTTTCAACGCTGTAAGTTGTTTACAATTTGGTATTCGTTCTTTTTTCGCGGATATTCAAGATGACAAGGCCGTGTACAGCGAGTCTAACATAAATACTAGATTGTATCATTTCGTTGTCACTGAGATAGTCCAGTGGTTGTGTTGATGGACTGCCAATCCAGATACTTGGGTTCAAATCCCACCTCGGACACCTTTTCACTCTCTAAACGGCAATTTATGTGTAGTGAGCAATTGTCACCTGTAGAGGGCAGTATTGTGTTGGGCATCAGTGGAGAGAAGAGAGAAAAGGCAGTCCTGTAGCATAGATCCATGGTTTTCAATGCATGGGCGTAACCCGCTGTGACGTCACACACAGGTTAGAGCATAGACAGCTTAAATTCATAAAAAACACATTCTTTTTATAAAATATAGAATTTTTTTTGCCGGAATCTATTTCATATCGACATTGTCATGCAATTTTGATATCCACAATTTAATCATTAACAACAAAACAAGGAATAAAACCAGGATTTCTTTGTGAAAAAGGTGTTGGTTATAGATTTGTTGTTGACAAAACTCTTGTCTATTCAGCTGTTATGGTCCCAGCTGGATTCGTCTGCATATCTGGCAACCTGAGTCAGGGAGAGTGGGAGAGGCTGCAGTACCACTTTTGGCCACACGTTTACACACTGCTCCTTTAAGTTTTATCCAAAATCGTGACAAAGGTCTGCATTCCTAAAGACGGCATTTCTGGCTGAATATCTGAGTGCAGCTTGAACCAGGTCTCGAGTTCTTCCTCTGTCCCCAACTCTTCATCAAACTAAACAAAGGCTCCATTCAAAAACCCTGCTCCCAGAATCCTTTGACTTTTCCAGCTTTATCTTCGGCCAAATGTAGTCTCCCGAGGATGACACAGAAATGCAAACTCTAACTCGGCCCGTGTATTGTTCGTTCAATGTTTTTTTTCAAGTTAAAATGGAAAATGAAATATCTAAAGATGGGTTGAATTTTCATTTTTCATTTTGATGAGGAAAAGGAAAAACAAAAAATTGTGAACCTTTAGAGTAGACAGAATAAAGATATGGCTTTGTGACAATCGCCTCCAGCTGGTATCAGGTCAGACACATGGTCTCAGACATATGGTCTCGGGTCAGGAGCTGCTACAACTTGTATGTAGTAATAAGCATTTTTAAGAACTCATTAGAAAATAAATGGGTATAGCATCTTTAGCTACAGGATCCATGTGTTTTCTAAGTTTCATAAGTAAAATACCTCCCCTGTGCAGTGGGTGGGAGGTATTGTTCATGATGGAGGGTGCTAGTCAAAGCCACCTCCATCATGAACAACACCTCCCACTGCACAGGACTGTAGAGGAGCTGAGGAGCTCCTTCAGTGGAAGACTGAGACACCCTCAGTGTAGGAAGGAGCAGGGCCTTTATCCCCACTGCTGTCAGACTGTACAATAAGTCACTTTAAATGATCACTGTGTGAAAACCTGCACTACTATTGACACTGTTTCCAATTGACACTTGTCACTTTTGTTGTACATAATTATTGTCACTTTTATTGTACATATATATCCTGCATGTAACATGTTTGCACATTTCCTCCTTTTGCACAATCTGAGTGTCTCTATCCATGACAAATGTGACATGTACATTTCTCCTCTGTGAGATAAATAAAGCACATCTTATCTTATCTTAAGTGTCATATCTGTGCTTGCAGGGGGTGAGGCATGGAGGCCGGGTCGGTGGTGCGTGCTGCGTTCGACTTCCTGCCCAGCGTCTCGGAGGAGCTGCCCCTCTTCAGCGGTGACGTCATCGAGGTGCTCGGCGTTGTGGACGAGTTCTGGCTGCTCGGGAACAAAGATGGCGTCACAGGTAACTCCCACGAATCATTAACTTTTGGTTATTTTAGTAGTCGACTGGGGGCGACCGTGGCTCAGTGGGAAGAGCAATGGCCTTTGATGTCTGCTGTCGTTGTGTCCTTGGGCAAGACACTGAACCCCACTTTGCCTGAAGCCCCCGGTGAAAGATCAAGGTCCTCCTGTGGACTCAGCACCTGCAGGAGGATCAGAGAGGGACTGGGGCTCTGTGCACTGGGTGGGAAATGACTGCCACCCCCGACCTAGTAATGGATTATTGGGAAGAAAATGGATGGATGGATAGTAGTCGACTGGTCACATTTCACATTCACTACATTCCCATTTCTAAACTGCTGAAGGTGGTGAAAGACCCCTAGACAGAAAAAAAAAACAATGAAATAGTAAAATGTGTTGTTGAGGTTATATAATATATTTTTTATGGGCTTCTCAAACAAATCTCCGCTGGTGGTATAATTAAAGTAGAATCTGAATCTGATGAATGTGTTAATGATTACAATGGTTAATCAGTTAATGATTACAATGGTCATAAAAATATAGTCTAAGTACAGTGCCTTGCGAAAGTATTCGGCCCCCTTGAACCATGTCGCCACATTTCAAACTTCAAACATAAAGATATAAAATTTAAATTTTTTGTCATGAATCAACAAGTGGGACACAATCGTGAAGTGGAACAAAATTTATTGGATAATTTAAACTAAAACTGAAAAGTGGGGCGTGCAATATTATTCGGCCCCTTTACATTCAGTGCAGCAAACTCAGTCCAGAAGTTCAGTGAGGATCTTTGAATGATCCAATGTTGTCCTAAATGACTGATGATGATAAATAGAATGCACCTGTGTGTAATCAAGTCTCCGTATAAATGCACCTGCTCTTTGATAGTCTCAGGGTTCTGTTTAAAGCACAGAGAGAACCATGAAGACAAAGGAACACACCAGGCAGGTCCGAGATACTGTTGTGGAGAAGTTTAAAGGAGCAATATGTAAAAATCTGGCCAAAAGTGGTACTGCAGTCACAGTCAATATTTTGTAGTCCTCTCCCACTCTCCCTGACTCAGGGTGCCAGATTCACACCAAATCCAGCAGCAAACACAGGGAATTATTTTATCAGTTGTTTGTCCGTCTCCATTCACATTGCCATGACAGCCGTGCTAATGCTGAATGAATGTTTTGATTAATGTTTTTTTATTATTATTATTTGGACATTTGAGATAAAAAACAAAAACAAAATAAAAGCAATGTAATTATACATAGTTTATGCAAAATAAATAAGCAATTGATGTCCAAAATAGGAGTGGGAAGAATGGATGTTGGAACGTATTTCTTCAGCGTATCAACATCAGGGTTTGCTCAAGAGGATATCACCTTTCAATTTTATTTATTCCCTATTTTTTAGACAAACATGTAAAAGTCCCACATCAAAAAGAGACTAACATTATTTTAATTGGGGTACATGTGGTCTTAAATGATTATTTTTACAATTAAGCTATAATCTGCAAAAAAAAACGTCTTGACCTTCATCTTTTACCGTTTTTAGAGCAATCTGTCATAGAATGTGATAACATGCAATAAATACAAAAAGACATAGCCCGGAATCGAACCCGGGTTCCTGCATCGTAAGCGCACAGTTTAGACCACTAGACCACCGGTTCACACTAAAAGAGACACTGTGAAGAACGCAGTTAAACTAGAAAATTCTGCATCACACGTGAACTTTTATCAGCTGTCTCAATTGTTCAAAGGCATCCCGATATAAATCCTCGTTTTAGTCTTTGTTTTGTCATTAATGATTTGAGAGTCATAACAAGACCTTTTTTAGTTCTGCGCCACATGTCATTTTACCACTGAGATTAATGAGCCGTACGGAGTTCTGGCAACCCAATCACGGACTTACATGACACTTCCTGATTGGCGAAACGGCGGAGGGTAGGACATCAAAATCAAAACAATAACAACTTTTACGGGTCGTAAAACTAATTTTGATAATCAAATATCTCGGCTGAACTACTGTTATCAGTTAAAGATGAATTCGAAAAGAGTATGATTTAATAACACAGGGGCACAGGAGCATTAGTGAATCATGTTCTGTTCTTGTGCAATGTTGTGGGATGCTTGTTGTGTAAACAAATGTGTAATGTTATGGGCTCGAAAGAAATAAACAAATGAAAATGAAATGAAATAACGCCTTTTGAAATATTCGGGTCATTTAATGATGACTTGACATGCAAATATTACATATTGCTCCTTTAAAGCCGGATTTGGATACAAAAAGATTTCCCAAGCTTTAAACATCTCAAGGAGCACTGTACAAGCAATTATATTGAAATGGAAGGAGTATCAGACCACTGCAAATCTACCAAGACCCGGCCGTCCCTCCAGACTTTCATCTCAAACAAGGAGAAGACTGATCAGAGATGCAGCCAAGAGGCCCATGATCACTCTGGATGAACTGCAGATAACTACAGCTGAGGTGGGAGAGTCTGTCCATAGGACAACAATCAGTCGTGCACTGCACAAATCCGGCCTTTATGGAAGAGTGGCAAGAAGAAAGCCATTTCTCAAAGATATCCATAAAAAGTCTCGTTTAAAGTTTGCCACAAGCCACCTGGGAGACACACCAAACATGTGGAAGAAGGTGCTCTGGTCAGATGAAACCAAAATCGAACTTTTTGGCCACAATGCAAAACGATATGTTTGGCGTAAAAGCAACACAACTCATCACCCTGAACACACCATCCCCACTGTCAAACATGGTGGTGGCAGCATCATGCTTTGGGCCTGCTTTTCTTCAGCAGGGACAGGGAAGATGGCTAAAATTGATGGGAAGATGGATGGAGCCAAATACAGGACCATTCTGGAAGAAAACCTGTTGGAGTCTGCAAAAGACCTGAGACTGGGACGGAGATTTATCTTCCAACAGGACAATGATCCAAAACATAAAGCCAAATCTACAATGGAATGGTTCACAAATAGACGTATCCAGGTGTTAGAATGGCCAAGTCAAAGTCCAGACCTGAATCCAATCAAGAATCTGTGGAAAGAGCTGAAGACTGCTGTTCACAAACGCTCTCCATCCAGCCTCACTGAGCTCCAGCTGTTTTGCAAGGAAGAATGGGCAAGAATTCCAGTCTCTCGATGTGCAAAACTGATAGAGACAAACCCCAAGCGACTTGCAGCTGTAATTGCAGCAAAAGGTGGCGCTACAAAGTATTAGAGCAAGGGGGCCGAATAATATTGCACGCCCCACTTTTCAGTTTTTTATTTCTTAAAAAAGTTTAAATTATCCAATAAATTTCGTTCCACTTCACGATTGTGTCCCACTTGTTGTTGATTCTTGACAAAAAATTTAATTTTTTATATTTTTATGTTTGAAGCCTGAAATGTGGCAAAATGTTGAAAGGTTCAAGGGGGGCGAATACTGTATATTATTATTATATTATATTATTATTATGTATATTATTAATACTATCTGGGAGCTACAGTAAGTTCCTGTCTGTTAATCGCAGTCATTGTTTTAAATATAATTGCATTTACGTGAATAGACACTCTGTACCGGAAGTATTTCTGAATAATAAAATATGTTTATGTCTGTCAGGGTCCTTGAGCGTGAATGAGATTAGAGTTCAGACAAAACAGTAATGATATGTTTTTGCCTGGAAGGAAGTGCAGAGGGTAAATCCACAATGTCCTACAGAAACATGTATTTATAACTCCAAGTGGGAAGTACATATAGTGTTATTTATTGTGTTTTTGTGTATTTTCAGTGTTTATTTTTTCCATTCCAGGTCAGTTTCCCGTCACTTTTGTGGAGGAGGTCACTATTCCCAGCTGTAAGCCCGAAGACATACTCTACGTGTGCATCAGCGACTTTTGCTCAGCAGAACCTGACAACCTGCCTCTGAAAAAAGGTATCGATCCTTTATGTGTGTCTTACATCCGGGAAACTAACCTGTGTTTAAATGGATGTTTTTTCACCTAGCTTAACGCTGCTTTGTGCAGAATGTCTCTGTGTTCAGGTAAACACACTCTGGTGTAGTTGTGCTGTGCCCTTTGCCTTTGCCTTACCTTCTGCAAACACATCCAACTATAAACTTTTACTTATTACTTCATTTTCTGTCATGTGTTTGTGTTTGGACCAACATTGAGCCATCGTCACTCTTATCTATTTGAATATTTGAACCCAGGTTATTCTTTTTACTGTCAATGATCAATGATTTTCAAAATGTGTCAAGTATATTTCCTTTACAGTGATTGCAGAAGGACTCACCACTAGATGGCAGTACGAACCAAACAAATGTCATTGTCCAGTCCTCCCTACGTTTATATTAAGTTTGTTATAGTCAGTCTAGGTTGTGGTCATAGTAGTTAAAGTATTTTGTATTTATAGTGGCATTTTGATTTTTATAATTCAAACGGATTATTCAAGAGCAAAATGTCCAAGCAAAGCCCTAGACGTGACTTGTTATTGAAAAATGTCATAAATCACCACCATTTCCTGGATTATGAGGTCTTTGTCTGAGTTTTTTTGATGTTCATTTCCAGATTTTCATAGTTCTGTTTGAGACACAATGGGAGGTGGAGCCCCAGGTCTGAGGAATGTGACCCTCCTGACTTTAGACAGCAGCACATTCCTGTAATCCCTGTATCTGAGGATATATGAAGCATGCAAACCTGGCTCAGGGTAATGGGGGCAATGAGAGCAAAAAGAGGCAAGGAGAGGGCTCCACTGGGGGCCGGGATAATGGTCAGTCTGTCCTGAATCCCTGATAGTGTTGAAAAGTTTAAGTTAATCTTGACAAAATATGTTTCATTGGTTAGCTGCAAATCGTTAAAGTTGTTGGTACTTGACTTTCAAACGAACAAAATTAATTATCCATCCATCCATCCATCCATTTTCTTCCCCTTAATCCATTTCTGGGTTGGGGGGTGGCAGTCATAGCACCAGCCCCTCACTGATCCTCCTGCAGGTGGTGAGTCCACAGGAGCTGAGATCTTTCACATGTTATTATTTGTATTAAAAAATCTATGTCACTATTATTTCCTGGCACGAACAAGTTTGGTTTTATCACTAGTTTGGTGCGGTTTATGATAAAGTGCGGCTTATAAGGTGCAGCTAGTCCAAAAAAACCTGACTATGAATTCAGGTTGTGTATTTTTCTAAACTATTGCTGACTGAATCTTCTTCCCCTCCTCAGGTGATGTCGTGGTCAAAGAGACCGGAGGCTCCATGGACCTCAGCGAGCCGTGGCAGCGTGGACGTAACTCCTGGGGGGTCCGTGGGCTCTTCCCGTCGTCGTGTGTGAAGGAGCTGAGCCTCTCGTCTCGCTCACGGCTGCTTTCCGAGCGCTCTCTCCAGTCTTCAGAGCTGCCTCCTTACGCTCTGGGACAGGCCCGGGCCCTCATGAACCTCCACGCTCAGCTCAACGAGGAACTAGACTTTCGAGAGGGGGACCTGATCATCATCACGGGAGTCCCTGAGCCCGGTTGGTTTGAAGGAGAACTCAATGGACGCAGAGGGACTTTTCCGGAAGGGTTTGTTGAACTGTTGAGTCCTCTCTGTTCCCCGGATGTGCTCATGGACTGCCCTTATCTGGCTGATGAGTGTGATGTTAACTATGGGGACGATCTGGGAGAGGGGACTGACGAAGAGGTCGTGCAAGAAGCAAACGAGATTCTTGAACCAGAACCAGACAGTGTCATTGAAGAAGCTGAAGAGGATGAAGAAGGAGCCGTGTATGGTGTGGCATTGTATGAATTTCGAGCTATGGAAGCAGGCGAGCTGGACTTCGACGTTGGAGATCGTATTCAAATCTTGAGCACTTTGGAAGACGGGTGGCTGGAGGGGAAAGTGAAAGGACAGCAAGGTATTTTCCCACATCGTTTTGTCAAAATTGAAGGAGCAGATCAGCCAACACCACAACAGGAAGCTGATGTTCATGTAGAGAATGAACAAAGTAGTTATCCTCCAGATGGTTGCTTATGTGATGTCACGACAAATGAGTGGGCCGGATATGAGGACAACACAGTTTGGGATTTGGACTATTTTGAGGAGCAGAGATGGCAAAGCGAACAGAAAGCTACAGCAAATCAATCGTATTATAGAGGGGAGAGAGATGGGAGTTATAAGTCAGATCAACAGCCTTCCAGACCAGGACGAAAACCACCGGAGAGGCCCAGATCTGTCCCCCCACCGAGACCAAGGCTGCCTCCGAGACCCAATCTCCCTGCACATAGCTACATGCACTCCAACAACAAGAATAATTACTCCAATAGTAGTTTGAGCAAACCCAAACTGTCACACAGCTTAACGTTACCCAACTCTTCTTCTAGCTGGTCAAGAGATCGCAAGCCTCAGCACAGACCCCTCACAGAGAGGAGGAGAAATCCAAGTTTGGGTCGGACCTTGGTTGAGTTTCTAGACAGTGAGAAGTCTGTAAGACCAGCTCGTCATGCTAGTTTCAACGATGCGGATAGACTGGGCAAAGCAGAAACCCTGCCCAGATCACAGCAAAGCAGATCGAACGGCAAACGTCTTTCCTCCATCACCTTAGAGGCTCTCACAACCACCGCGAGCGACATCGAAACCAAGCTATCCCAGCAGCTTTTTGAGTTCGAGAAAAGTTTGGTGTCATCTCTGAGCGACAATAATATTAGCCAAGACGACTCGGGAAACCAGTTTTCAAGGCATTTCTCTATAATGGACTACAACAGTGAAAGCGATATCATCCGAGGCACGTCACACTCCCCCGTCCCTCATTTATCACAATCTAACTCTGCATCTTCTTCACTGGAGAGGCGCAGGACGCTTCGACCACCCCCGCCCCGGCCCAGAGTACATCGCCCCCTAGTGCCACCTCCCTGCAAACCAGCTCGCCCTCCACCTAGTCCCCCATCAAGACTGAACACAGCTCCAGAACGACTCGATTGTGGAAATAACCCCATCTTCTTCACTCCCGACACGCCCTCTTTGGACATCCTCGACCAGCCGATAGACACGGAAGACTATTACGGCGTTCTGGCCCGGGCACAAGAAGAGGAAATCCAAAATCAGATGGATGTGGAGAAAGAGTTAGAGAGAGAGGCAGAGATTAGCAGGGAGGAGGAGCAGAGATACCACCTTGTTCTACGGCTTCAGGAAGTGGAGAATGATATGGAGGCCTATGCTCGGACTGCAGAGGAGCTGAGGATGATGCTGGAGGAAGAGGAAGATGAAATGGCTCGGACACAAGCTCTGGAGAATCTGGAGTTCTGTAACTACACACTGGAGACGCTGGCTCTGGAGCAGCACCAGCTACAAGGTACGTAAATGTGTGTTAGCACCAACATCACAACACTGCGACCCAAGTAAGGACCGCATTTAGTTAATAAACAAGGTTTAATAAAACTGCAAAAATTATGGACTAAATATCTTCCTTACTATGCTCACACTCAGAGAGCAGCCGTCCTCCTGTGGACTCACCACCTGCAGAGGGTCAGTGAGGGGCTGCTGCTATGAGACTTGGGTGGCATCTCTGACTGCCACCCCCCTGACCCAGAAATGGATTAAAGGGTAGAAAATGGATGGATGGATATCTTCCTTACGACTGGTATCAAGGAAATAGATATTTTATATATTTCAAGAACATTGTATTTTCTAAGAATACTTAAATTATTTATTATTTTGTTGCGCATTAGGTGCAGTAAACGATTTAGGGTAGCTTTTGTCTAGCCTGGCCTTATCCATCCGTACTCTCTGCTCAGTTATTTCTCTGCATGTAAAGTCTGGGTCTGGTCCCTGTGTTTGTGATTATAATCAGTTGAATTCCATCCGACCAATCAGAGAGCGCGGGAGGCGGGTGTTGTAGTTAGATGTGGGCGACGTCAAGAGTTTGCACCAAACTCCTGAATGTTTTGCACAGAAAAGGCTTATAGGGTTAGGCCCTGTTCCGACCGGGATTCGAAGCCAGGATGTTTGTCACTTTGATCATTTGAGAAAGTCATAGAAAATCAGGCTCGCTCGCTCTCTCTCTCTCGCTATCTCTTTCTCTCTCTCTCTCGCTATCTCTCTCTCTCGCTATCTCGCTCTCTCGCTCTTGCTCTCTCTCTCTTGCTCTCTTTTGCTTTCTCTCGCTCTCTCTCTTTCTCTGTTGCTCTCTCTCTCTTTCTCTGTTGCTCTCTTGCTCTCTCTCGCTCGTTCTTGCTCTCTCTCGCTCTCTCTCGCTCTTGCTCTCTTTTGCTCTCTCTCTCTCTCTCTCTCTGACAATAAGCCTTAACAGCGGTTTGGATTCTCACAGATGAAAGGACTTTTACAATGTTTGCAGAGTTGGACATTATAATAAATAATCCGTAAAATCTGAAAAATGCTGCCGGCTTTTTGAACTAAATGATCAAACTCTTGCATGAATACTTTCTCTTTGATGTTTTTGGGTGTTGTTGTAGTTCCAGTGTGTTGTTGTGCTCTGGTCTGTGTGTGTGTTGTGGTCTTAGTTCTTTTCCACATAGGTTCTAAGTGCATTCCTGCTCCTCGTGAGAAAGCATCACACGTGGGCTCTGGGTTTTAGTTTTCAGAGTCGTTCCTTCAGCTGCACTTCCAAACCTTCTTCTTTTCATTATATTCGCTTAATGGGCGCTGCAAGTCGGGTCATGTGTGTTTGGGATAGTCCAGTCTGGGTTTAGTCCAGTCTGGGTTTAGTCCATCAACACAATGGCGCATTTTACCACTTTTTTGGACTCACGAGAAAACGGTGCAGGTAGGACTTTTTATTTATTTATTTATTTATTACACCTTTTTAATTTATATACCAAAAGTTTATACCGTACATTTGAGCAAGTAACAAGTTTATACATAAGAAGTCTACAAGATAATAATACATTTTAGGCACTCAAGGTGGCCGTACACAAGGGACACAGTTAGAATAGATAATGTGTCTGTGTATGTCTCTCTCTCTCTCTTGCTCTCTTTTGTTCTCTCGCTCTCTCTCTCTTTCTATCTCTCTTTCTCTCTCTTTCGCTCTCTCGCTCTCTCTTTCTATCTCTCTTTCTCTCTCTCTCTCTTCTCTCTCTCTCTCTCTGCTCTCGCTCTCTCTCTCTCTCTCGCTCTCTTTTGCTCTCTTGCTCTCTCTCTCTCTCGCTCTCTTTTGCTCTCTCGCTCTCTCTCTCTTTCTATCTCTTTCTCTCTCTCTTGCTCTCTCTCTCTCTCTCTCTCTCGCTCTCTTTTGCTCTCTCGCTCTCTCTCTCTTTCTCTCTATCTCTCTCTCGATCTCTCTCGCTCTCTCGCTCTTGCTCTCTCTCTCTCTCGCTCTCTATCTCTTTCTATCTCTCTCTTGATCTCTCTCGCTCTTGCTCTCGCTCTCTCTCGCTCTTGCTCTCGCTCTCTCTCTCTCGTTCTCTCTTTCTCTCTCTCTTGCTCTCTCTCGATCTCTCTCGCTCTCTCTCGCTCTTGCGCTCGCTCTCTCTCTCTCGCTCTCTCTCTTTTGCTCTCTCTCTCTCTATAGACTCCCACTCCACTTTATTCATAGCAACACATCCAAATGCACAGGTTGGCCAGCCCTATATGTTTAAACATACAAGATACATATATTTATTTACCATTTGCAGTAAAACCACATTGGAACAACTGTGCAAGACTTCCCCCAGTGTGCACCAGACATTACAGACTTTCTACTGTACACTTCCTGCAGCTCATCTGGGGGAATCCAGTCCGGCTCAGAGTCCCAGTCCGGCTCAGAGTCCCAGTCCGGCTCAGAGTCCCAGTCCGGCTCAGAGTCCCAGTCCGGCTCAGAGTCCCAGTCCGGCTCAGAGTCCCAGTCCGGCTCAGAGTCCCAGTCCGGCTCAGAGTCCCCAGTCCGGCTCAGAGTCCCAGTCCGGCTCAGAGTCCCAGTCCGGCTCAAGTCCCAGTCCGGCTCAGAGTCCCAGTCCGGCTCAGAGTCCCAGTCCGGCTCAGAGTCCCAGTCCGGCTCAGAGTCCCAGTCCGGCTCAGAGTCCCAGTCCGGCTCAGAGTCCCAGTCCGGCTCAGAGTCCCAGTCCGGCTCAGAGTCCCAGTCCGGCTCAGAGTCCCAGTCCGGCTCAGAGTCCCAGTCCGGCTCAGAGTCCCAGTCCGGCTCAGAGTCCCAGTCCGGCTCAGAGTCCCAGTCCGGCTCAGAGTCCCAGTCCGGCTCAGAGTCCCAGTCCGGCTCAGAGTCCCAGTCCGGCTCAGAGTCCCAGTCCGGCTCAGAGTCCCAGTCCGGCTCAGAGTCCCAGTCCGGCTCAGAGTCCGGCTCAGAGTCCAGTCCGGCTCAGAGTCCCAGTCCGGCTCAGAGTCCCAGTCCGGCTCAGAGTCCCAGTCCGGCTCAGAGTCCCAGTCCGGCTCAGAGTCCCAGTCCGGCTCAGAGTCCCAGTCCGGCTCAGAGTCCCAGTCCGGCTCAGAGTCCCAGGACATAACATCAGGGCAATAAAAACAGCTGTTTCCTTCCAGCCGGTTCTTCAGGTCACATGACTTACACAACATTTGGACTTTGCTGGTATCAGTCTTTTGTCTGAAAAGAAAGTCCCATTTAAGACACACTTGAAGAGATTAGATTGATTAGATCTTAGCACTAACTTTAACACATTATCCAAACACTAAACACTTCTAATGTGATCTGTTCGTGGCGTGTTGTTTACATTGTGCACAGATTAAAGGGGACGTGGTTGTGCTTCTATCGCCGTCTGAATGAATGAATGTGAGCTAATGTGACGACGCAATATCCCTGTGGATAAGTCTATGGGAAGCAATGGGTCTGTGTGTGTCTCTCTCTGTGTGTGTGTCTCTCTCTCTCTGTGTGTGTGTCTCTCTGTGTGTGTGTGTGTGTGTGTGTCTCTCTCTCTGTGCGTGTGTGTGTCTCTCTCTCTCTGTGTGTGTGTCTCTCTCTCTCTGTGTGTGTGTCTCTCTCTGTGTGTGTGTGTGTGTGTGTGTCTCTCTCTCTCTGTGTGTGTGTCTCTCCCTCTCTGTGTGTGTGTCTCTCCCTCTCTGTGTGTGTGTGTATGTCTCTCTCTCTGTGTGTGTGTCTCTCCCTCTCTGTGTGTGTCTCTCTCTCTGTGTGTTTGTGTGTGTGTCTCTCTCTGTGTGTGTGTGTGTGTGTGTGTGTCTCTCTCTCTCTGTGTGTCGCTCTCTTTCTGTGTGTGTCTCTGTGTGTCTATCTCGGCCGATGACTATTGTTTTACTGCAGATCTGCCCAGTGCTGGAGGTTTTTGTGCTTGTGTAGGGTGTGTGTGTCTCTGTGTGGGTGTGTGTCTCTCTCTCTGTGTGTGTGTGTGTGTGTGTGTGTGTGTCTCTCTCTCTCTGTGTGTGTGTTCCCAGTGCTGGAGGTTTTCGTGCTTGTGTAGGGTGTGTTGCTGTATTGTTACAGAACAGAGGAGAGCGTCATCACATACTTTCATTATTCCAGAAGAAAGTTTTGGTCTAACTCTGTCTCTGAGGCTGGGTTCGAGTCCCATTTACTCAGACCTTTGCCACAACTGCAGTGAGTTATTTTGTAGACAATTAGCTCTTCTGTTGTGTACCTGCTCACCCTGTACTTCTTCAGACCTTTACAGTTTATCTTCATACACAAAGGCAACACAAAGTGATATAGTTGATTATGGACAGTTTTTTAGTATTCATTAAAATAAAAACACAGTTTGTTGGCTATGGTTTGTATATTTGATAGTAGACGTCTCAAAACACCAAATGGTCAATAATTAGAGATCAGTGGAGAATTTTCAGTGTTGTTGTAGGAGGGAAGCACACAGCACAACTCTTTACTAAAATAAAATAATAAACTAGATTTAGCATAATAAAGAAGCAAGTCTAAAATCTCTAACTTTAGCATAGTTTGTTAATTATATATGTATTTAAAATCTGCACAACACGAGCTACAAATATGAATTATCAAATGAAAAACACTAAAACTACAGTTACATAATGCCCTCAAATTTAACACGCTCAACATAATAAAGAAGCAAGAATTAAGTCTAAAATCTCTAACTTAAAATAACATGTTTAGTCTGTGGTCATTATTCCACTTTATAACTCTGACCTTGCACCTTTCATTAAAATGCCTCTCCTTGTTTCCTGGACACCGGGTTTCGTCCTTTTACCGAGCGTCAGAACGTCCTTTAATTAAACTCTACCTCATTCCTGGAAGTCCAAGAGAATCTGGGAGCATTAAACATTGATAATTCCGTTTTTTATTTACAATCATAAAGTGAGAAGCATACAGGCAAAACACACTGTGTGTGTGTGTGTGTGTGTGTGCGTGTGTGTGTGTGACTGTGTGTGTCTCTGAGTGTGTCTCTGAGTGTGTGTGTGTGTGTGTGTGACTGTGTGTGACTGTGTGTGTGTGTGTGTGACTGTGTGACTATGTGTGTCTCTGTGTGTGTGTGTGTGTGTGTGTGTGTGTCTCTCTCTGTGTGTGTGTGTGTGTGTGTCTGAGTGTGTGTGTGTCTGAGTGTGTGTGTGTGTGTGTGTGTGTGTGTGTGTCTGAGTGTGTGTGTGTCTGAGTGAGTCTCTGAGTGTGTGTGTGTCTCTGAGTGTGTATGCCTCTGAGTGTGTGTGTGTGTGTCTCTGAGTGTGTGTGTGTGTCTCTGTGTGTGTGTGTCTCTGAGTGTGTGTGTGTCTGAGTGTGTGTGTCTTTGAGTGTGTGTGTGTGTGTCTCTGAGTGTGTATGCCTCTGAGTGTGTGTGTGTGTGTCTCTGAGTGTGTATGCCTCTGAGTGTGTGTGTGTGTGTGTGTGTGTGTCTCTGAGTGTGTGTGTGTGTCTCTGTGTGTGTGTCTCTGAGTGTGTGTGTGTGTGTGTGTGTCTCTGTGTGTGTGTGTGTGTGTGTGTCTCTGAGTGTGTGTGTCTCTGAGTGTGTGTCTTTGTGTGTGTCTCTGAGTGTGTGTGTCTCTGTGTGTGTCTCTGAGTGTGTGTGTCTCTGTGTGTGTGTGTGTGCTAGTGGGAGATCCAAAGCTGAGAACGGGAGGAGGATATGGGTAATAGCAGGAATGGTTGCTGATGTGTGTGTGATTAAATAAGTCCATTTCACTAATTCCCAGTTGTAGTTTTAAAGCAGACGGGGACAGACGGACTGTGTTTGACATTCCTCTGGTTGACACATGCACGAGCGGCGAGTTTCGGTCTCGTGCCATTGAGAGCCGAGATTCTCAGTCCTGATAAACAGACTTGTGTGGAGAGCGGCTGCACTTTCTCGTCTTTGAAAACAGCTGCAGCTCTCTTTGTGAACCGCAAAATACAAAAGAACTGAACAGGAGCTCTGATAGTGGCTAATCTGCTGCTCACTCTGTCAATAAACATGAACTGTGCCACAGAAGACACACATTTTAGTTTGGAATGAACTTATGGCACTTCTGATGCTTTAACTTTATATGATGCGGAGTTCAAATGAAAGAGAATTTATAATGTTTTTGTTTTACATTCAATTATGAGGTATTTTATTCTGTTTTTTGTTATTATAGCCATAGTGTGGATCTACATAAGGGGTCTGGAACTTATGGCTCTTTTCATGATTGTGTCTAGCTCTTAGTATTCAGATTATTATTAAGAATTAAGAGATTAAGAGATCCTTCATTCATCCCACAGCGGGGAAATTCCAGTGTTGCATCACAAGCCACAGAGCAGTAGGAATGAGAGGACCACACAACAAAGAGTGAACAATAGCTCTACACTAATTTAAAAAAAATCTCTAGCATCAAAGAACAAGTATAAAATTTCTGTCTTGAACATAATTATAATAAATAATTATAATTTTTTTACATTTGCACTGGGTTCCTTTGATATAAACTTGTAATTCAACTAAATAAAACATAAATCTATTCCCCATCTCACTACAAATACGTTGATCTTGTTTTTAAATCACACATATTCACTGTAAACAAAGAAAAGTATGGCTCCCACAGAAATACATAACCTTTTAACCTTTTCCACACTGTACGAAGTAGAGGGAGTTATGGTTATTCCAAAGCTTATGCAGTTGACATGATATTGCCTTCTGGTAGTTGAATCTTTGAAAATACCTCAATTTATACCTAAGAAGTGTTTTTACTGAGTTGTGACTTCTCGATCAATCCAGACTTTTCTTCCAAAACATGTAAAACACCTCTTCACAGATTCAACACAAGTGAAATCTCCTCTTCTGCTTCTCTGCACTCATGATACCCTCTCCTACCTCTGCCCGGCTTGTGTTTCTCAGTGTCACGTGCACAGGGCTTTAAACCTGTGCTTTCTGGTCCGGCCTCTCTCGGGGCGGGGGAGGGATATATTATACTCTTTATGAATAGAGCAGAGTTTTTCTCACACTGAAAGATTGTGTCTGTTCTGAGTTTGGGCCAGTCCTCAACAAAGGCTCATTGTAAAGACCGCGGCTACGTTTCCAGTGCGCGGCCTCCTCACCGTGCTTCATAAAAACACTCCTGCAGGCGATCGATCAAGTGTCTATCGCTCTAATAATCTGTGTGCATTATAGACCCGAGTATATTATCAGGACTTTGCAGCAACCTTTGTCTTGTCTAGACTTTTGGTTTTGATTTCGTTTCATGGTTTGCCAGTTTTGTTGATACACCATTGAAGAATTTTTCAGGTCTGGACACTCAAAATTCTAATATCTAAAAACATATACTCTATTATTAGTCATTAGGCCTCCTGCTGGTGCCCAGAGTCAGAACTAGACACCAGACGGTTCTGTTGGCCTGCGGATACAACTCAAGGATGTTATCTCTATTTTTAATGCACTGTGGTTTATTTTTTAATCCCTTCTGTGATTTTTATATTTTTAATTACCTGTGATTTTTAATTGTGTTTCAAATGGTGATTCTGGTGTTTTATTTGATGTGTGCGTTGTGTGATGTGGATTGTGTTGCCGTGTGTATGAAAGGCGCTCTACAAATACAGATTGATTGATAGGATTAAAAAAACGTTTAAAAAAAGCACAATCAAAAGTATTCAGTGTGATGCATTTTACAAAACTCGTATGAAGTTCACTAATCTGGTGCTCACATGGTTTGACTTCCACAAAGTTAACAACAAAAGAAACATTTAGCGTCAGTCTGTGGCCCCAAAGCCAGATTAAAACCTCCTCTTCTTCTTCACACAAACTCTTCAGGCGGATTGTTTTTGCTGCAAACAGAGACGTCGGCCAATTAAAACACAGGGAGGGGTTAGCCAGCCTAATCCTCCACTCATGTGACTTCACACAATCATTAACCTCATCAGGCCCCTCCCACTCCAACCCTGCCCCCCTGCTGCTGCTGTGATTGGCTGCGCTGGTGTGAGGGAGGGGGCCGGGAGCTGTGCATGGGGAAGGGAGGTGTAGGAGCCAGGCAGTCCTGCAGAGAGCCAGCCAAGAAAACAAGTGGAGGAGTTCCAGGACAACATGCCTGACAGGTGGAGTCTGACCCACGGGCCTTTGTTACGGAATGCCATGGAATTCTGGAATTTAGGAAGAGGAAATAACTGAACAGGAAGAGTGGCTACAGACAGGCGGGTGCGATGAAGAGCCCTGTGGCGTACGGGAATCCGGTCATGTTTGGTCAAGTGGACTGGAATCATCAAGCAGCCGGCCCCCCCATGAGGAGAGGGAAGAGCGTGGAGGAGCTGGGAGACGCTGGCTGGGCCAAAGAACAAGAGAGGTTGGCCCATTTACAGCATTTACATCACCTACATCAACTCCAGCAGCAACAGGTGGCCTACCCTGGTTATGGAATGGTGCACCCTCCACATGGGAATGTCATGGTTCCGAGTCCGGTTAGCCCCATTCCAGCTCCGGGTTTTCCCATGGCGGTTAATGGTGGTATGGTTCATCTCCAGCAAATGATGCCAGTTGGTTCGGTGCCGCCTCAAATGCACATGCCGGGGCCATGGCCAGTCCACGCTCAAGTCGGACAAGTTGAGAAGCCCAATGTTTACTACCACCCCGGCTCAGAGTATGGACACCTCGACGTGAGGATATCGGAGTGGAAAGGAAAGCACTGTTTTTACCAAGGTCCAGAGGAGACGCAAAACCAGGATTACAACCCCAGGATACAACCACAGCACGACAATATCAACTTAAGTTATGAGGAGCCTCGATATGAAGAGGCCAGGAGAAGGAGGGAAGACTGGGACCGGGAACAAGACCAACTCAAAGACCAATATGCGCATAGAAGGCACTCGGAGGAACTAACGGACCGAGATTACAACCGGAGATACGACAATCGCTACGACGACCGCGAACAGGAATACCATGACAATCGGAATTACAAGGAGCGCGACGATTACTGTGAAAGGCAAGACCGGTACGCTAGAAAAGACAAGTATTACGACCAAAAAGACAGTGATAGAGATAAGGATTACTACGAGCCAAAAGAAAGGTATAGGGATCACTACAGGGAACGAGACAGATATGATAAACGAGAACATGAGCGATACGAGTCTAGAGAAAGGTGTAGTTACAATCAAAGAGGTGAGGATAGTTATCGTAAAAGACCAGGGCATTACGAGAGCAGACAAGACGACCGGTACAGAGAGAAAGATGCATCCAACAGGTACAAAGATAGAAGTGATGAGAGGAGAGATGAGCACTACAGCAGCAGGAGGAGGGACCCTTACCGAGACATGGACCGGTATGAAAGAAGAGAGCAATACGACCATGACAAAGACCGTCGCAACTATGACGGCAAACCAAGAGACAGGTACCGGGATTTACGTTCGCTTTCTGACGAATCGCGATACGAGGAGTACCCCCAAAAGGACCGCAACAAGTCGCACTGTGAAGAATGGGTGGAGCAGCAGAATAAGAAGTTGGCTCTGGGAGACTGCTTTGAGGACCCAGGGGTTTACAGAGCCAGCATGGACACAGAGAGGGGGTATGAGTCCAGCTCTGGGGGAACCAAGCGGGGTCGGAAACCAGTCTACATGGGGTCTCTGGACCGAAACAGCTTCTACAGGAAGACGGCTCCCAGCTCCATGCGAAACTCTCAGTTCGGCACCACCAGGAAGCAAAAGAAAGGTAAACAAACGCAAGGAGTGTGGGGAATATTCTACTGAAGTTTAATGTGAACTGTCTTTTTAAGTGACAACACAAAACACTAATATTAAAGTCAACACTCTCCTATGGTAAGATTAGATTGAGTTTATTGATCTCTGATGGAGAAATGTACATGTCACATTTTGGCAAAGATTGAATCACAAAAGACAGAAGTGTGAAACTTGTCAAAGGTTAGTGGTTAGTTTAAATATCCATATAGTATTACAAGGTTAATGTGAACAGTCTTCTTAAGTAACAACACTAAACACTAATATTAAAGTCAATACTCTTGTTCTTTTATATATGTATTACAGGGGAAGGTCACTAAATTCAATTCAATTCACAAGTCTTTGAATTGGCTGAGTGGTTAGCACTCTCGAAGGTCCTGGGTTCGAATCCCGGTCGGAACAGGGACTTTCTGAGTGGCGTTTGCATATTCTCCCCTACACATGTTCTCTCTGTGTAGGTTTCCTCTGGGTGCTCCGGTTTTCCCTACCACTAAAAACATGTACAATAGGTCTGTGCCTCCTGTACTGGCCCCTCCCATCTCTATGTGGAGAGACTAATGCCCACAATTGGTCTGAGAAAGGTGCTGTATAAATAAATAGATTACTTACTTACTTACATCAGTTAAAATAAAATTCAGCACAATTATAATTTACATTTCACTGATACTATGAAAGAGCAGTGATGGTTGTGTTGTCATTCCTAGTGACAGGAAGCTTTAGTGATGTCCAGGGTTGTGTTTGTGACCTCCAGAGATCCTTGTTTAATCAATGTGACTAAAATGCTGATTACGAAAGCAAACCCTGGCAGCTGAGAGTGAGAGACAGTATCGTCATCTCCTCGGAGGCGCTGTCAGGTATGTGTCCGTGCAAAGACCGGAAAAACTGGTTGGACACGGGTTGGAGTTTTTGTTTTCGGTCATTCACTCACTCTGTCATTTTTTTTTAATTGCTAATGTTGAACCTTGAATCCAAACTAGCTTGAGGAGTTGTTGTCTTTCCAAAGGTCGCCTGTTTATTGCTTTTATGACTAAGAAGCTGAGAATGGAACGAATGATAGATGCAGTGTCTGTCTGTCCTACGCAGCCGTATATCTGAAAGTATGTCCGGATGAAACTGCCTCATTAACGTCTCTTAAATGTTTGTTTTCTGAGGCCCAAACCCACAAGGTCCCGAGGGCTCGTGACACGATGACGGGTTGTTTAGTTTTTGTTTGTCGTTGCATCCTCTGCTTGTATTGAGTTGAGCAATTCTTTCTTCAGCACATGACAAAGCTACATCTCTCACTCTTTCACTCTTCACCTGTGACAGATATATGCCCAAAACTACTTATATTTAATCCCCTTTAGGCTTCACTCTGCACAGGGACTTTGTACTGAGAATATAAATGATAATTATTCATTAAACATAGCAATGATTATTAAATTAAACCTGCTTTGTTGTCAGTGTTCCTGTCAAAACTGTAGATACTGTATATGTTTTTATGTGATATACTTAAAGCCAGATGTGTCCAAACTAGGGCCTGGGAGCCAAATACGGCCCTCGGAACAAATTCTGTCGGCCTTAACCCATTTACAGATTTCAAGTTTAAGTTTAGTTTATTAAGGACAATGTGCAGTTACATTAAAAAGGCTGCTCCAGATTTAGCACCAGCTTCTTTCCATCTGTCGTCTTCTAAATGACTTTTGTTTAACGTGACACAGAACTTTATTTATTTTATCATGTGTCATTTTGTGTCCCTTCCTTTCCTTTACCTACTGTAAAATTCCCCAACATACTTTCCTCTTTGTGACATAATAATAATAATAATAATACATTATATTTATAGAGCACCTTACATTTCCAGGATAAAATACAAAACCTCAAACAACAAAATAAAGCAAAAAAATCAGAAATACATCAGTTTGGGACCCTCTGAATCTTTCTTTTACTCAAATATAAGACCATGTGTATTCTTACAGTGCAAACATTACTGCTGACAATATCTTAGTTATGAAGTGCTTTTCTGGAGGATTTCCAGATTGAGCCCTGTTCTATTGTGTTGTTAATTTTATTTAATGATTGATTTATGTGATAGGGACAAACACACAATCAACACTACAACCTATTTGACATTATAATATTCACATGATACAAAAGGGCTTAATGAGGTCCAGGTCTCTGCCCCTGGACCGAGAGAGACCGACTGTGTGTGAATGTGGTCCTCCTGAGGGGCACTTATTCTCTACTATACTGTGCTATACCGTGCTCTACCGTGCTATTGCTGAACCTGTGCTATTATACTATGGCACATCTGCAGTTACTAGTTCCTCTGTGATTTCGATCGTAGACGGATGACACTAGTTGCGCGGTCGTGTCTGGAGCAGCAGCAGGTGGCGCCCCTCTGCCCCTCCCCCAGTCACCTCCAGCCCCCTCCCTCAGACCACCGTAGATCCAATTCAGGAGTCCGTGTTTAATCTCCAGCGTCAGCACAGTGAGGGAATAGTGGGGGTCTGTCTGGTGCCAGCTTGTGCCTCGTACCTCCTCCTCCTCCTCTTCCTCCTTCTTCTTCTTCTCTGATATCTGTGTGTGCGGCTCTGAAGCGGCAAATAACGTTATGTTTGAGAAAGGCCACAGACACGGTTACACACTTTACTCCTGCGCCTTCGTCCCGTCATCCTTTAATCTTGTTAAATTGTTGCAGCGCGGCCAGGACTTTGGAAGTTAAAAACATTACAGTATCATGCAAGAGTGGTTAAAGGGGGAAGGGGGCGGGGCATAGGGTTGAGTGACATTGTGGGGACGAAGGGATATCAATACAATTATCAATTACGTGTTAGATTAAATTCAATGTATTTTTGTGTAGCCTTAAATTAAAGAAATGCAACGATAAAAACACATTGGTTCATAAGGGACAGAGACCAATGTGTATAAATGTTTTTCAATCGGAGAGCTACTTTTATGCAACAAAAGAGGCAGAGAGCTACTCCTTTTTGCAGTCGTAATTAAAAATCAATGTAATAATCACTACAATTACTGTAAAACCCTATATTTATACTTATAATAGAAATGTAGTGAGTCAACATGTATTCATTCAAGATCATTTGTTAAATTCTAAATCCTTTGGGGAGCTACCTGAAAGAGGCTGGCGAGCTACTGGTATCTCCCGAGCCACAGGAGACCCCTGCCTTAGACCCTCCTGTATCGGGAAAGAAAAACTCATATGAAACCAAAAAGTTCTGTGAGATGAGCTTCCTATTCTCTGATCACTTTTCCAACGCGGGGGAAGCACAACATTCTGATTGGATAACACTGACACCACAGTTTGGATTGGAATTCACTTTTTGATTGCAAAAGCTGAATAATATTTTTTATTTATTTATTTGATCGGGACAACACACATTAATGAACAATCATACACAAGTTGTACACAAATTGTAAATGTGTCAGATTGTTGCAAAACTGCTAATTTACATCCGTAGTCCCGAGGCAGGTCACACAATAATAATAATAATAATAATAATACAAAAGGACAATATACAAATATAGAAATTACAGTTGGTTAAAATGAGTGCAGGACTGATCTACTTTAAAATGGTGTTTTAGGACGAGAATCTGTAGGACGGATTTATGTATCGGTTTTATACAGGGCTTTTTTGGACACTCAAAGACACTCCCGACAGTGTGGTGATAAACTACTGTTGTAGCCACAGCTGCCCTGGGGCACAGAAGCAGAAGGACCTTCAGGCTCAAAGGCCAATGCTCCGCCCACTGAGCCACTGGGCTTTCTATATTCCCATATTTCTACTCCTCATGACCTATATTTAGTTTGAACATTGGCCATTGTGGATTTTTAAGTATTTCCAGTAGATTGAACTTTCAGAATCACATCCAAACTAGGATTGTTTTGGAAATATAACACGTCATAGTTGAAGCAGTAGAAACTCTGTAGAGTATGTTGTTGTCAGAGTAACTTGAGAGCACCTGTGTTGTGAACATGGCACTTGTAGGTCGAGAAAATGCTGCGCTCTGAGAAAAACTGCTGCTCTGCGTTTTCTCCGATGGTGGGAACAAGAGAATGTTTGAGAATCAATATGTTCAGACAAACAAAACAAAGTCCATTTTGAAGAAGGGCGTTTGTGTTTGTGGAAGTTAAAGATGCTTCACATTCTTTGCTTGAATTGAAATGGAAACCTGTGGGATTCACCGTCACGGTCCATGTTGCTTTGCTTTGTGATGAGTAGCTCTCTGTCTCTGCCTTGTGTTGTATAGAAGTAGCTCTCTGTCTCTGCCTTGTGTTGTATAGAAGTAGCTCTCTGCCTCTGCCTTCTGTTGTATAGAAGTAGCTCTCTGTCTCTGCCTTGTGTTGTATAGAAGTAGCTCTCTGTCTCTGCCTTGTGTTGTATAGAAGTAGCTCTCTGCCTCTACCTTCTGTTTTATAAAAGTAGCTTTCTGTATCTGCCTTGTGTTGTATAGAAGTAGCTCTCTGTCTCTGCTTTGTGTTGTATAGAAGTAGCTCTCTGCCTCTGCCTTGTGTTGTATAGAAGTAGCTCTCTGCCTCTACCTTCTGTTTTATAAAAGTAGCTTTCTGTTTCTGCCTTGTTGTATAGAAGTAGCTCTCTGCCTCTACCTTCTGTTTTATAAAAGTAGCTTTCTGTCTCTGCCTTGTGTTGTATAGAAGTAGCTCTCTGCCTCTACCTTCTGTTTTATAAAAGTAGCTCTCTGTCTCTGCCTTGTGTTGTATAGAAGTAGCTCTTTGTCTCTGCTTTGTGTTGTATAGAAGTAGCTCTCTGTCTCTGCCTTGTGTTGTATAGAAGTAGCTCTCTGTCTCTGCCTTATGTTGTATAGAAGTAGCTCTGTCTCTGCCTTGTGTTGTATAAAGGTAGCTCTCTGTCTCTGCCTTGTGTTGTATAGAAGTAGCTCTCTGTCTCTGCCTTGTGTTGTATAGAAGTAGCTCTCTGTCTCTGCCTTGTGTTGTATAGAAGTAGCTCTCTGTCT